CTGAAACCCGTTTCTAAATGCAGCGCTGCAATGTAGCGAACCGTTTCTAAACGTTTGCTGCAAGAGGTCGCTGCAGCGAAGATAAAGCAGCTTTTACGTCCGCTACACGTGTAAAGCAAAATGGACGCTTGTGTGTATAATACGATATTATGCTGTAAAAATAAAAAAGTCGAAGTGACTGTTGATAAAAATATTATGGAAAGATTAAGAAGGATTAAATTTTATGAAATGACTCTGAAAGTTATCTAAAGAATAAGAAAATACTATATTTTAAATATAATTATATATCTTTTATCTCTTTACTTTGTTCACATTTATGGAAAGATAAATGCTCGATTCTTTATATCTCTTTATTTAAATATTGTAGTTCTTTAACTAAAGCACTATTTTCGGCTGTAACTGGAATTAAAGGATAGATTATGACGTCCGTGTTTCGCTCGAGCGGAAAGCGTTTCTAAACTATCATGCAGCCACGTGTAGCGATAGCTGCTCGTGACGTCATTTACGCTGCACTCTCTATGCATAAAGAAACGCAGCCAGCCCATCACACAGGCGATCGACTTCCGGGCACTCGCCTCCCCCCAAGAGTCCGACGACGAACTCGGACAGCTCCTCCGTTCCAATACAGGCCTCCAGCTTAAACGAACCATCATCCCGAACACTACGACACAACTTTACTGTGACACATCTACGCTCAACGCCCGTCCTTTCGTCACCAAAGACTTCCGACAGCCTCACTGCACGGGTTGTCACACACCGGGGTGAGAGCCACATGTCGCCTGGTTAAAAAGTCCTTCGTGTGGCCCGACATGGAGCGTGACTGCAAAAAGTTCGTACGTAGCTGTATGGCGTGCCAGAAGAACAAGATCACCCGGCACACCGTCTCACCGACTGGATCATTCGCCCCGCCAAATCAGCCATTCGACCACGTCCAGATCGACATCGTCGGACCGCTTCCGCCATCCAACGGTTTCACATATTGCCTCACGGCAATCGACCGTTTTTCCCGTTGGCCGGAAGCATTTCCCATGTCGGGGATCACAGTGGTCGTCGACCGACCAGGGATGACAATTTGAGTAGCACCTGTTCAAAGCACTCACAGCGCTGACGGGTACGTCGAGAGTCCGCACCACCGCCAACGGAATAATCGAGCGATTCCACCAGCAACTTAAGGCAGCGATCAAGTGCCACTCTTCCGGTCGCTGGACAGACGACCTACCCATAGTACTCTTGGGAGTCCGGACCGCCTACAAAGACGACATCAACGCCACCGTAGCCGAGCAAGTCTACGGACAAACGCTGCGCTTGCCGGGAGAACTTTTCGCAAACAACAACGACAACACGTCCGATTTCGTCTCCGATCTTCGGTGCAGGATGCCACGACTACCTCCGGTCTCACCGCGCAAGCGCGGCACTCACCAGACGTTTGTGTTCCGCCATCTACAGACCCGCTCGCACGTCTTTGTACGCCACGACACCATACGTAAACCTCTACAGCCCCCGTACGATGGCCCGTTCCAAGTACTCCAACGCTCCGACAAAACGTTCAGGATTAACATCGACGACAAGGAAGTGACCGTTACCATCGACCACCCGAAACCAGCTTTCGTCACCGCCCCTACAACTTCCGTCCCAACCGACACGGGGAAGGAACCCCCACGACCAACAAGCCTCGAAGCCACCAAACCACCGGTCACAACCCGCTCCGGACGACGGGTACGCTTCGATTTGAGGTATCGTTAACACTGGCAGGGGAGTACCCAGGCGCTAACGCCTACAGTCGCCACCAGAGGGCCTCGACGGGATGACGTCAGCACTTGGACAGATTCCCGCACTTTTTCGACCTGCCACGAGAGAGATCGGTGGTGTACGACGAGAGCTCTACTACTCGACTATTCGACTAGACAAAAGGATTGTAGTGCTCAACGACTATGGCCTACGTATCTATCGAATAGGTGGCTTCACCTAAACAACGGGCAACCCTTATCGGAGAAAGAGCCGAGAAGGCTATACTCTCCATACGAAACAGTGAGAAGAAGAAGAAGGAAATGCTAATCGATTAGCCTAGACCTCGTATTGTTGTTGCGAGCTATTTATAAATTGATTTTTATTTTCAAATACAAATAAGTGTGCATTCGAAATGTTTCCTCGCAACATTTGTGACGAAGAGTACGAGGCAAAGAAATGCTTAATTAAACATCGACGTCATTTACACAACCTTGTGACGTGTCAGTTAGGAAACAATTTGCCTCGTCCATTTTCTTTAACGAAACTGAATTCCGAATCAATTTGCGTCACGTGATGAGATATTCGAAATTTAAAAAGATTCGATTTTAGAATTAATCGATTTTAGAAGATTCAGTTCAGAATGGGAAATCAAGTAAGCGAGAGTGATAAATCTAACAGGGAAGAAGAGAAAGAACAGCAAGAAAGTGAGAAAGAAAGAAACGATATGAAAGTGTTTACGTTTAATGAAAATGGGATAAAAGCTTCCTTCCGGTATCCAAAAAATGAAACTTTAAAGGTTTCGATAGATTTAGAACACGAAAAAGGTAAATTTAAAAAAGAAAAGTTGAATTAAGTACCATACTGTAATATATTCGGAAGCTATTCTGAACACAAAAGGCTCTTTTCAGAGCCAGTTTATCATCTAAAGAGGAGTCAAATCGTAACAAATATTAATCAACAGTAATATTACTCGTGGATTATTATTACAAAACAGCTTATTTCTTAATTTTTTTCTTTTTTTTTTTTTGGATTTTTACGGCGATCCTTCTCCTCCTCGTCACTGTGGGAGCGTTTACACCCGCGTCGACGACGAGGGTGTTCGTTTATAGAAAACGAAATATTTATTTTCCTTTTATAAGTTATTTCGACGGCAATTTTGTCTTCTCGTTTTTTTTTCATTATTTTTTTCCTCGGGTTGTAAATTTGATTGAAGAATTCTAAAGTCGATGATTTCGAAAATTGATTTTTTAAAATTTCGAATATCTCGTCACGTGAGGCAAATTAATTCGGAATTCAGTTTCGTTAAAGAAAATGGACGAGGCAAATTTTTTCCTGACTGACACGTCACAAGGTTATGTAAATGACGTCGATGTTTAATTAAGCATTTCTTTGCCTTGTACTCTTTGTCACAAATGTTGCGAGGAAACATTTCGAATGCACACTTATTTATATTTGAAAAGAAAAATCAATTTATAAATAGCTCGCAACAACAATACGAGGTCTAGGCTAATCGATTAGCGTTTCATTCTTCTTCTCACCATTTGGTAAGGAGAGTATAGCCTTATCGCTCTTTCTCCGATAAGCGTTGCCCGTTGTTTAGGTGAAGCCACCTATTCGATAGATATATCGTTCCAGCGCCGCCACGCGTCGACGAGGGGAAATGGAAGTGAGTATAATGGCGTCGCGGTGCGAGCGAGAGACGTGTTTATGGACAATGTATTGCCTAGGTCTTTGCCAGCCCCGATATATTTAGGGCATTGTAGCCAGTAGTGCGGCGTCGATTCTTCCGCGCCGCAATGGGGACGGTTTGGCGAGTCCCTCGAACACCGTGAGGATAGAAAAGCGTGCAAAGGGGCCGTCTCGGCCCGAAGCCGGGCCAAAAGTGTCTCGGCCTGGCGAGACGACGCGCTACTGTAACATAATATACTCTTGTCTTACGCTCTCCTCAATTGTGAATTTCTCTGACACTTTGCCATCTACATGTAAACTTGCTCTGCTATTTTCATACATTGCTCTCACACATCTAACAAGTACAGATAACCCCCGTATAACACAGGAGCTACGTTCCAAAAAATTGCCATGTTATGCGAATTCGTGTTATACGAAACAAAGAACTAGTGCAAAAAGGGGGGTTAGGTTCCAAAAAGTAAAAACCATGCTGTTAAATCCTTATTTAAATCAGATTTATTATTCATTTTTTTCATAGGTAAAATACTTATTTATTATTTAAGCTGTACACCCAAGAGTCGAAAGGGCGTAGATGGTCTCGACCTTTATCGCCAAGGGCTGCCGACCGTGTATCCATCGGGGTTTAGCATTTCCTATTTCAGTGGGTTGACGTCATTTAGCTGACCAATCGGCGCGTTGTGCCATCTGGATATCTAGTCGCACGTTGGTAGCCTGTTATATGGGCGGCCCTATTTCAATTCCCGCTGCGCGTAATTTTTTTTGTTTTTTTGTTTTTGTGTGTGTGTGTTCGACATATAATTTATAATTAAATAATTAAAAAGTGTTTTCGATGGGAAGACGAAAACAATATAGAATAAGAATACAGTACAAATTAAATAGAAGAAATGCTTCCTCGTTATCATTTCTATTTGAGTTTGGCTTTTTTATTTAATGCAGAAAGTGTTTAGTTTGGTGACTTCTCTTTCGACTAAATATTAAATAAGTCTGTGCAAACATCATTCTTTTCCGGATCGATTCGAACTCGAATCATTTATTATTTGAGCTCGGATCGATTCATTTGTATCATTCGAAAAATGTGTGAGCTCGTTTTTGTGGGGAAAGGACTTAGTAATGTAAACTATTAGAATGCGATGAGTGTTTTTCCAAACTAAATTAGAATTTAAAAATTAATATAGTACACTCGTTTGTAGTATTGTATTTTTAATAAAATCACCAAAAAGTGTTTTTTTCTAAAGCTTTCACTAAATTACTAAATTAAATATAAAATCGCCTGATCTGGTAAAATTTCTGCAGACCTAGCAACGTTAATTAATGGCGCTCTAGCGGGGACTGTGTTTCCGAGTCCTAAAACCTTTTCTACTATAAATCCCCCAAAATTCTCCAGTAAATTTCGAAATCCTCTCCCTCTATTGTCCACGTTTAAAAGCCACGGACTTTATTACACAACTATTCGGCGGAATAACGTTTTTCACTTTCCATTATTAGCCTAATTGCAATATTACATGTATATTGCGTGTACGTGTTTATATACGTATTTAAAAAGTGGTATTTACATATTTAGCCTGTGTGACGTTCGCGCGGATTAGACTGAGCTGAATTCCCAGGCCATGGATTTTCGGGTCTTTCACCACTAACGAATATGTTACGACCGTAGTTGTAAATGTACTCGTTCTAAGGACGTTGTTTCCGCCCTTGTATTCTCTGTAACTGTTTACTATTGTGCAACTGTACATATATTTAAAATAATAGTAAATCGGTAAAGAGAACGTGACTACCCGAACGTAGCGTAACCAGATCCTTAAATTGTAATATGAATCACTACACATTTTAATAAACTTTGGCTTTTAATACTTACCTAATAAATTATAAAGAAATATATATATAAATCGCAAACGTACACTATCCAAAACCACACCGAGAATACACCGAGTTTTGACCCTTTAATTGAGGCTACTACCTCAGTAAATTATGTAAAAGACAAAATGTCTACTGAAGATTGGATAATATTATAAAAATAAATAAGTGTTTTAGATTAGTTCCTGGTATAAAAATGGATAAGTGAAGACCCCGTTTTGGATAGCCTACATTTTTGATTTTAATAAACTTTAATGTCTTGTATTATTACTTTTTTAAATATACATAAATTAAGTCAGTAGTTAACTCCACAATTTAATTATTTTTCGTATTTTTTAGTAATTTTGTTTTCTCATTACAAAAGGGAATCTCCCCGATTATCCCAGTCGATAGTTTCTCCGAATCTCCTACCCTCTTCCTGTCTTTATTCTCGATAATAAACGGGATAGACACGTGTTATCGTGGTCTTCGATTATTATAAATATTAGGATATTATTCTTCTTCTAAATCTTTAATTCATTTGATTTTGAGTTTGTTTACGAAGATAGGAACGAACACCTTAATTCATAAAATTTGTGACGATGGTCTTTGAGAATCTCTAATTCAGCGCAGCCATTTTGAAAGGAAAATGAACTAAACACTCGAAATAAGGTCATTAGAATGATTAATGTTTATTTGTTTTATAATAAACAGAGTCGAAGTTATTAAAAATTGTAAAATTTTTTGAAATTCTGGATACGAGAAAGATACAGAGAAGGAACGAGTATTGTTTTTACAAACAGTTCTGAGAAGTGAGATCTCGAGTAAGTACTCAACTGCTTTCTAATATTCATAATACTGTATTTAGATTTATAACGTCTATTTTAAAATTAGAGCATTCGAATCTTTATTTTATGTGGTCGGATATTGTTTATTATGTTTTTACGCACCTTATGTATAGTATTATATTATTTCTGGCATTGAAAAGTTAAATGTAATGATTCTTGAACTAAAATGAAAACACAGTTTTAGGACGATTTATATTATTGATACATGCTTGATATATTTTTCGTTCGTTACTTTCTTTTATATTTACAGAATAGGCTAGAAGTCGCGAATTTTCTGTTGTTTGGGACTCCTTTGGGAATTAGAAAATTGGCAACTCAGATACGTGCCCCAAGTGTCTCAATTTACGAATGCTCTTGGTTGTATTAGGAACTCGAAAGTTGAACAAAGAGCAAACGTTAAGTTTGAGAATCTGTCACAGACCCTTGGAATACTTCGGGGGCTTATGGCAACTAAATCACGAGTGAGACCACAACCTTCGACTCTTCTGGACCCAAGAAGGCAAGGGTATGTTAGGAGCGGCACGTCCTTTGTCGCTCCTAACATACCTTGCTTTTATTGACCATAAGGGAATTGTATACTGAAAACTTTCTCCCAGTCAGATAGTGAATTCAAGATTTTACTGAAGTGTTTTGAGGGAGTGACTGCTAGATTTAAATGAATTATTAGTCTTCTAGACCAAATCAGATTTCTTTTACATCGCACCTGATGTATTCTTTAGAAAATGTTTGAATGGGCATCCAGTAATAGAGAATACGGCTAGAATTTTAAAGGTTTTATCTAAGAAATGCCAAGCACGTAAATAATTTAAGATAAAATATAAATAAATAATAATATTTTTATTTTTATTTAAAATTTCTTTTAGAAAATGATTATCATTTTTTAATATTTGAATAACTTATATATTTTATTTCATTTTCCATGTATACGAAAGGTTAATTCAAAATGAGTTTTTGGAATTCCATTATCGTCATTTCGATTCTAATTGGGGTATCTCAGGAAATAAATATTTCTTACAAAGAATTAGTATCGCTGAACGCCGATTGCTACCCTTTCGATACGTGCAACACAACAGAATTTATCCCAGCTTCAACAAGAAGTTGCCAATGCGACGATTCGTGTGCCTTCTACAGAGATTGCTGCTTAGATGCTTCCAGTCGCCATACCACCAAAAAGATACAAACCCATAACTACGAATGCTTGCCAGTGGACGAGTTTGAAGCTTATTTTGTAGTTTCCACTTGTAAAAGTAAGCGGGCAGACTCGGCGACGAAAAGAAGATGCGAAGAAGATCCAACTGCTGAAGATCCATACACTTTGATACCAGTGATGAGTCGAGGGAGTAAAACGGTGTACAGAAATCGTTACTGTGCCAGTTGCAACGAAGATAGCAAATATTTGAATTTCTGGAGTATTGGGGTAACGTGTTCGCGATGGTATAACGATATAATCGACGATATTCAACGTAATCTTGTGTATGACTTTAAACTAAGAATTTGGGGAATACGTTTACCTAATCAAACATTTGTAGATTGTATTATGAATGCAGTCGCACCAGAAAATAAACAGTTCCTGAGACCTTGTTATCCGGATATGATATCGGCTTGTCCGTCTAAATGGAAGGATTACTCGATTAGAAAAAAATGTAATTCGTATACGGCAGTTATTTATGGATACGATGGTATCTATAAAAACGTTCATTGCGCTATTTGTAATGGAATTGATATGGAAAGGTACCATTGCTCGGATGTCATTCCGTACAGTTCCGGTGTCGGTTTTCAGAATATATTTGATGTGGGGAATGATACGTGTGAAGAGGGAGAGGTTTGGGATGAATCCTTCGAAAAATGTCGTAAATTTACTTGTGGCTTACCTTTTCTTAAACTTGTAAATGGTGTTTGCGTTCCGAAGTCGTAAATGTATAAAGTAAATACTTAATAGTAATTAATTTTATAATTAAATGAAACTGTTACAGAATTTAAACTCGACATTTTTATTGATAACAATAGATAATTGTATTACAGTAAAGAAACATTTAGTGTTAATGTTTTCATATTTGTTTTATGTAAATGGTCTACAGAAATAAAATACACGTATGCTTTTATTCAGATTTGTTTTCTCTTATTTCTCTTCGTGTGTTATTTTTAATTATCATTGTAGAATGAGACCATGCAACTTATTTCACGATTTTATCTTGATTTTCTATGAATTAACATTGCATACAAAACACGTTACCGTATACTTTGCATTTAAAGACACATTCGTTTTGCCTAAATAGTGTATACTTTTACGTCGTATCTTTTATGACCATTACCATTAAGAATGACATCAAATCGACGTAATAGCCTATACAATTCGGGCAAAACACATTGGCTTTAAGTTATAAGAAAAATAAATTTATGCGTTTTCTTTCCGATAATTTATAAAGGAATGATTTTCTGTTCTTCGTAAGAAAATTTAGCAATTGTAAAGTTTTACAAACAATTTTGCCCGCAAATCTGGTCTAATGTATGTCTGCTCGAAAAAGGAAATTGACCGAAAGGTGTTTTTCTATCGTAAATGTTTCTGAACATAAAACGTCCAGTATGTTCTTACTCAGTAATCACGTAGAGAGATATTTAGGTAAGGCGTATTAATGGCAAAAACACACGATACACTCACTTATTTGTACAATTACCGATGCTGTGGATGAAGAATCGAAATAGTTATTTGTGTAAATGGTGTTTCATAAGTTATATCGCATAAATATAATTGTCTGATTGTTGTTACTTATATGAGTGGGCGAAACCTTTAGTATCAAACAGGTTTCTACACTGGAAATGGAAAGGAGACGTCGCGTTGGAGTTCAAGAAAAAAGAATTAGAACAGGAATTAGCGTGTTCTACGAGAACTTTCGTGTTTTGGCACGTCTTCAGATGTACGCGGGAGTGCTGCAAATCCACGGACTTTCAAGAAAATCGGATTACATTTACGCAAAACCGAAAAGCATCAGGACGATTTACGGTGTCTTGACTCTTCTATATACATCGCTGATTAATTGCAGCTCGCTGATAGTCCTTGTGCAAATCGACAATGCCGTGCTGATCGATAACGAACTTTCTATCATCGTCTTGGTCGGTTTAGCCATCAGGTTACAATCGTCCACTATTTTGTCCAGAATTATTGGCTTATGGAAATGCAAAGACATCCTTCGACTTCTGAAATTAGTTATAAAGTTAGAAAGAAAAATATTTTGGAAGAACGGAGAAAGAATCCAATTGATCGTCGTTTCCAGATTAATTGTTCTAATCCATTTGATCGGCGGATTGATCGTAATGATAATACTGATGGTCAAGTGTCTATCGCTGGGAGAACCTTACTGGTCTCAATTCAAATATAAATTTCTCATTTACATTTTATTTGGAGTCATCATCTTTTGGTGCCAATATTATAGCATAGTATCTATCATTTACATTCCTACTTGGATCGTCTATTTTACCATTATTTTCCGCATTTCCTTTCGCCACATAAAGAGAGAATTACGAGAATTTATCAAAGAACACGACCTGAGTAGGATCAAACGACTTAAGGCCATGTATCTAGAGATATGTGATATGGTGGACATGTTGGACGACGCTCTTTCTCCCGGAGTGTGGGAATTGTATGCGGGAAATGTTATATTTTGTTGTTTGTCGTCGTTCTATACTTTAAAAAGGGACGTACTCACTTTAGATCGAATCATGTTTATGGGAACTTTTGTAGGGAGCTTCTTTCTTATGCTTCTGCCCGCCGCTTTTTGTTCCTGGATGAAAAACGAAGTAAGTTTTTTGATTCTAAAGTGCAGAAATTTCGTAAATATTCAAAGTTACAATGAAAATTTATTAATGCCATTTGGATAATATTAATCGAAGTTTAATTTAATTACAGGTAAATGAAATAGTCGCTAGATTGAATAATTACTTGGTCGACGTGGATAATGCGCAATTTAGAGAACAAGTAAGGCTACATTTATAAATATTTCTACTCTTTTTAGTGAATTTTTGAGTTAAATTTCCAATTAATTTTAAAGATAGAATTTTTCTGAAACTCTCGATTCTTCCGCTAACAATCCATTTATGTATTTAGATATTTGCCTTCGTCTTGTGTTGCCAGAATCGTAAACCTTGCATTACGGGATCCAAGTTTTTCGAGATTGATTTACCTCTGATGGTGTCTGTAAGTAAAATACGCTTTTACTTACTTTCGTACAAAATATCGGCTTTTAAGTTTTAAAATAAATATTAAGATTTTGCCGAAAACAAATCGAAACAGTACTCAATAATGCTTTTCTTCAGCAGATTTCGGGAACCATCGTCACTTACTCCATAATACTGATTCAATCGGGATAAAGAAGATGGCGTTTTATGGAATTTGCACGAAAGTCGCCCATCATTTCCTGTACGAGAACGATAAATGAAAGTTTTAGTACGATAAGAATCCCAGAGTAACAACACGAATGTGCTGTTTTTCGCATAATTAGACCTTTAAGTTTTTAAGAATGCAGCCGATGTACGTAAAGAAAAAGTATGAATCAAGAAAATCTGTCGTTCTGTCGGAAACTTCGATTTACACCATAAACGTTGAATACAAGAACGGATCTGGTAGCCATTGATGAATGAGGGATGGAAGCACAAATCGTAATTGATGGAAATCTTTAGAGTGCGCTCGCTGCCCATAATTAATTAAGTTTTTGTGTGTTCTATGGTAAACAAGGGCTTAATTAATTTTAATTAATTATATATATTATATGCTTGATTAATCTAAGATAGGTAGTTAGAAATTTAAGTTTGCAACAATAAAATATTTTATATTGATTACGAGAATTCATTTCTTTAGTAATAATAATAATATAGTAGTTCACATATTTACGAATTATTCACAACTTTTTTCTGCAAAATTCGAAATTATAAAGACCCGGAAACGACTCGTTCGGGTCGAAAAACTTCAGGAATTTTTCCGGAAGTGATCCGTTCCGGATATGTCGGGACCAATCCCTTACCACCCGGCATCGTTGTGGGCCTGGTCAAACCCATAATGTGCTTGATTAATAGGTTCACTTTAAAAAACCGGATAAGAATAGAGTGGTGCCGGTCATCTATCTAACACCTTTCGGAGGCGCCTTGAAAACTCTTCAAAAGTGCCATAAACTGTACGCAATTCTGTAATTATGCTGTAAATGTATTCTTGAAAAACAACTTTATAACGGGAAGTTTACGGCCAGAAAAAATTGAGAAAATCGAATATTAAACCCGTTAACTCGAAGAACTTAAAAAACTATAACAGGTAGAAATCGGATTTTGGCCTCTTAAACTCCGACTTAACGTGGTTTCACATTTGTTCCACGTTATTTTAAATTATAATGTTTCCTTTTCTGATATTAATTATTTTTATTAAAAGTGTTATACGTAGACAAAATAATTAAGTAATATGTAAAACTAATAGTTATTAAAAAGTAATTACAAAAGATAGAGATACACCAAAACTGACAATTGACCACCAAAGACAGTCAGACAGAACCCGTATTATAATTGTATTATACCGATACAATTGAGATGACGTACAAAATGAAAATATAGCTTAGTTTTTATAATTCGAGAACAATATGTAGAGACTGCTAAGTCTGTACGTACTGTTCTCCAGTTAGAAAATCCTGAGCTGGGACGGTGGGATCGCAGTGAATGATTCCACAGGACTGTGGTAATCTTAGAACTCTACTCGTACTGTACACCTAGATGCAATTTGTGTATTTCTCTCCTTACTGTACCTGCATGTACCAATGGATATAGACCTGTTTTTGTCAAAAATTGGGCAACACTACACTGTTATTCCTTCGCACACTACTGAAGAGGCGCTGCCATTTTGTCGGTCCGTTGTCTTATGTTCTCGCGCATCAACGGTGTCGAACCAAATAGAAATCCATAAATTAAAGAAAATTTTGTTTCTTACATTAAAAAAACCTAATTCGGATACAAATATAAATGAAGCAATACACAGCTTCGGTGCTTTCATACATCTTATCTAAATAAAAACAGTTACTATTTTTTCTGACTTAAAGGTTTCGTGTGTCAGAACTATTACGCTATTGTTCACCCTCTCGACTTTTAATGGCACATTTTCGGTTCCTACTGAACCTACTTTGTATTATTTGCTTTTAAATACACCGTTTTATTTTATTTTAGTCAACGCATTGTACCAAGATTTCTCTATAATATTTATAGGATACAAACCCAGACACAAATTTCATGACATTATTAAAAAAAAAAGTTAATCTAACTGAGCCAATGTCTTTTAGAAGCTGGATATGACCGTATTATTAGAATAATGGGCTTGAAATGACCGATTTTATCCACTCGTCTACGGGTGGACGAGGTGGTAAACTGTTAATTTTTTTCTTGTAAGCAGTACCGTACGTGTCGAATAAAAAATACAGAAAAGACTGAGCTGCAACACACAATAATTTTGTGTCCACAAAAATTATTTTCCCCAAATTCGTTAATTTTTTAATTCTTTCAAATCTCTCTGACTCGATGTTAGGCGGCGAATACCTAAGATGTTTATTGGAAGTTTGAAGTTTCCGATTTTATTTATCGAAACAGATCTACAAATAAAAAATTTTTTAAAATAATTTTTATAAATTTTCAAATTACTAAAAAATAAAAAGAAACAATAATTTATTATTTATACCGTTTATGAATTTTTGTCTTCTAAGCTGGCAACACTTAGTTATTTTTACCGCTAACTTACGATTTGGGCGTTATGTCGAAAATATATTGTGTATTAGTCTATTTACTTGTGTAGTGGCCTATACGTGTTCTGATTACTTATATTTAAAGGTATGAATTTATAATGCTTTATATATATAAATATAGACAAATATAATTCGTCCTGTCGATGAATGATTACGGTCGAAACATTTTAATCAGTAATGATAAGAGGTTAGTTTGTGATAACACGTGACTAATATTTATAATAACATTTATAGGTAATTAGTCTTGTTTCCGTGCTGAGTAACTTGTGAAAATGGATAAAATTGAATCCCTTTCTATATGAAAGAGGGCAATAAATGTTTATACGTTTATAAAGTATATTTTGACACATTCACTGTCATTTATGTGATCTCTGTTACATTTACAAAACTATTTACTTACAGATAGGTTCCTCTCGTCTCTTACTAAAGGGAATATAAAAAATAAATCGACAATTGTTTTTGGATTTTCCAACTAAATCATTGTTTGCCTTTTTCCTGAGCCGTGTTTAGTAACAGAATTGAAGTCTAGTTACGCTGTTTTTTACCTTATCGGTACTAAAAGAACCCTTTTTTCGGGCCCATTTTGGGTCCAACCAAACCCAAAATTTGGTTTGGTTGGTGGCCGGGTGCAGAGGTATGGGATCGATATATTTGGCACGGACTGACCGTGAAAGTGTTCTGGGTTTTCTACCCGGATTCGAACTTCGGTTTTCGGAATGGCGGGCTGATTGTCGAGGTGGTAACCTTGGCGTCAATCTGCCCGAGATCACAATACGACCAAGGTTTCTGGCTTGGATAATAATACTTTCTTCTTGAACGTGTTTCTAACTTCTCTCGCTAATCTTTTTGTATGCTATCTTGCCGATGGCATTATTTTTCTGTCACGTCTTTATTGTCGGCATTAATTGCTTGTATGATGATTGTAAATGCTAACAATGACTAATCATTTTTACATCTACCATTTTTTGCACGGCCGATCTAACTCGATCACGCGGGATGCCATTTGAAGATACTCGGAACGATTTTTTGTGTCGATCTCCTAGCCGATTAGATTTTTTTATTCAGTATTTGGCAGCACCGAATGTGTTATTATAAAGATTGCTTACAACCCGTTACGGGCTATCTATAGTTGCAAGCAAACATAAAGTTTTGCCCATAATTCTGAAAGATACTAAGATAAATGAAAAGTTTATTTTGATATTATTGGGTGTTATATTGACATTTAGTTTATATTGAAGACAAATTTTTTACTCATATTATTTTCCTGAACCTTTATAAATTTATTAATCAAGGATTTCTCCCACACCGGGTCATATACAACAACTATGTGTAGTCTTCAACCAATATCCGGCATGAAAATTCCAAACTAATATTGGCAAACGCTTTCGATGCCCCTCCTGGGCTCTTCTTCAGGCCAAATTTAATGTACTGGATTCTTAAATCGAATATTTTTAAATAAGAATGTGCTCTGTTACTAGAAATTCAAATAAGGAAGGTAATCACATGCCTTTCCGAATTATAATTTATTTATAATTTATATTCATGGAGATATGTTGTGCGCATCTTATAATAATCTCGCGTATTTTATAATCACGTACCATTTCTAAAAATAATTTTAACTAGCGGATATACGATGTGCGCATCCCATAATATATGCACAAGAGAGAGGAGTACCCATGGGAAGTCCATTATCTGGGGACTTGTGCAAAATGGTAATTAGGGCATTAGAAACCAAAACCCTACCACTCTTTCTCTCAAATATAATCATGTATGGTAGATATATATAGATGACATTATAATTCTCTGGAAAACACCACCAGACCTAAGACAATTTAAGACAGCCATGAACAACAACCCTTATGGCCTTTATTTGGAATTAGAGCAGCATAGTGAAGAAAAAAATCCACTTCTTGGATATAGAAATTGAAATTAAAGAAAGAACAATACAAACAAAAGTTTATAGAAAACCCACAACTATACCATCATACATACCCATCAATTCCTGTGACCCGTACTCTTACAAAATAGCGGCATTCAGGACTTTGGTAGAAAGAGCCTATTCCCACTCTTCCATGACCTACGCTCTATAACAAGAATTAGCGTATATTAGAGATGTCGCTAAAGACCACGGTTATGGCAACTTAATAAACAAATTATGTAATCAGCACCTTCACATAAACAGTAAAACAGATGAAGAAAAGACATCAGGAGCAGATGATAAAGAACATATGGAAAGGGTCCCAGTAACGTACAACCCACAAATGAAAGCAATATATAATTCAATTGCAAAGAAAAAAGGAATTAAAATTACATACAGAAGAAACCCTTCCATTTATAATTTATTAAGAAACGGAAAAGACGCCCATAACCCGAACAGGCTACCAGGAATATACACCATTCCCTTAATGGACGATAGATGGCAAAGGCAACTAATTTACATAAGGTCCACTAAGCGCCCGTTAGCCACCAGAATAAAGGAACATAAAGCAGACATCCCCCACAACAAATATACGACAGCATTGTTGACATATGCAACAAACCCAGACATAACCCCAAGTTTTAATGAGTCATGATGACAAGTGGGTCATCCGCACCACTTGTCATCATGAACATCTAAGAACTTTGGAAGCGATGGAAATTTACAAAGCAGATCGCAAACTAACCTGCATCAATCTTAAAGAAGAAATGAATCTCTCAACAGCGTGGCAGTATTTATTGGAGGATGAATCGTAATTTATTATACGATACACCAGATTATTATGGGATGTGCACATCATATATCCGCTAGTTAAAATTATTTTTAGAAACGGCACATGATTATAAAATACGCGAGATTATTATAAGATGCGCACAACATATCTCCACGAATATAAATTATAAAGAAATTATAATTCGGAAAGGCACGTGATTACCTTCCTTATTTGAACTTCTAGTAACAGAGCACATTCTTATTTAAAAATATTCGATTTAAGAAACCAGTACATTAAATTTGGCCTGAAGAAGAGCCCAGGAGGGGCATCGAAAGCGTTTGCCAATATTAGTTTGGAATTTTCATGCCGGATATTGGTTGAAGACTACACACAGTTGTTGTAAATTTATTAAAATAAAAACTAAGAAATATATCAAAAATATAGTTTAACATACAATTTTGTATTGTGTCAAGATGCAGAATTACATCAACTGACAACAAACATGTTAATTGCACTTTTTAATATCATCAAAATTGAAAATATTTTTTCAATGTTAAATGTACAGTAGAAATTACTCTAAGGAAATAGAAGAGTTGCTCTGAAAGTTTTGCATACAAGAAAACCATCCATGATGAATTAAAGTGTTTGTTTTTTTGAAAATAAACTTAACATGACTTATTATGCATAAACAAATTTGATCAGTCTCCCTTAATTAATCTAAGTGAGACAAGCCCTGTTTGTAATAGTTAACAATGGAACTTTCTATAGAAGCACTTCATGCAATAATTTGCTATGATTTTTGTGTTGGACTGAATGACAAAGTTATGAATGAATGAAATTGGCTTTTGGGGATGATGTCCCACCCTTTACTACTGTGCAAAAAAATTTCAGTGATCATACTTTTTCATGATAAACCATGTGAAGGGCAACCACAAACATCAGTGACTCCTAAAAGTGTAACTGCTACAATGTTTCTAAATAAAAAATATTTTGTTTAAAAGTCCTACAGTGTTCCCGTAATGCAAAGCTTTCGGAGTCATCCCTGCACATTGTCTCAGTTTATTTCCTAAAAGTAAATTTATGCAAGCATAATTTTATAATAAGTTTATTTGAATGATTTTTTTATAAATTCCATCAACAACTGGTTTGTGTATGTAATTGGAAAAGCACGAATACATTACAGAAATTTATTTTAAATCTGTATTATGATCTAAAGCTGATTCATTCGTAGATTTTTGGAAAACTACATTTCTTAAAGGCATTCATTATTATTAAATGTATCAGCATTTAAAAATATGAACTGCCTGAATTTATATACTCTGACAATTCACATTTAGCTGTATTCTTCCAAATATATTAATTAATATAGTTTTAATTTATAATTAGTTTACTGGTATGTGTCAGAATGTTAAATTAAGAAAATAAAGAATTACTGATCCATAAATTAAATTAGTAAATTAATGATTCTGATTATTATTTAGATTTTTGCCCGTATTGAAGACAAACTTAAATCTAAAAGTGTTTTAAAATGAATTTCATTTCTTAAAATTTTTAAACTTTGTTGAATTTGGATTATTCAAATTATAAAATCAAGTTTTTTAAAGTGATAAGTAGATAATTTGTAAATTAAATTCTCATGTTCAATTTTTTTTATATTTAATTTATTTAAAGTTTCAGATACAGAAAAATATTTATATTTTTGTGCACAATAAATACTATACCAGGGGGTCGCAAACTGGTAGCCTGCCGGATATGGCTTGTTAAGGCTTCATATCTGGCACACAGCCTTAATGATTTCTAAAAAATCAATGTTTCTAACATCCTGTGGGAATTAAAACAGAAAAAAATTTAATTGTCTATTTACTAAGTCATAAAGGCATGCAACAAAAGATTTTTTTTTTTTGTTTTTAAATTACAGTTGTGGTTTACCGAACATTGAATATGGCTTGTGTATGATATACATCTATTTGACTAGCCTTTTGCTTCATTTGAGTTGAGACCTCTGTACTATACAGTCAGTTTTTTCTTATATTGAATATGTTTGATCTCATTTTACTTTATTTTTTTCAGGTTATAAATTTGCAATGTCCCTAAATGAATCAAATGCACCATCGCACACAGATACTTTAAATATATTGGTAGCTACTGATTGTCATCTTGGATATGCTGAGAAAGATGCCATTAGAGGTAAGAATTCATACACAATATATTATATTAATTTTTAAACGTTTTATGAAATATATGGTAATTGTTCATGAACAAATAATAATCATTCTATTAATAATAGTCCTATTTAGATAAAATTGCTACATTTTAAAACAGAGTTACATTTTTATATCAGATTCTATTTTCCATAACTGATTAATTTATAGGAAAAGTTTAAGCAGAATATATGAAAATATAAGACATATGAATACCATATTTTCTTGATTAAACCCTGGATTAAAACATACATATCCCTTGGGGCAACAAGTTTTAGCCTTAGTATATATATGAAATATAGGCTCATATATGTAAATTGCCAACCTGATGATGAGGCAGTTACGTGCAATACTTCAAATGGCCCACTGGAAAATTTCTGATTTCCTGGTGGGCCAATCTACCACTGCTTTTATGTAATAAAAATTTTTATAAGATGAATTTTTCGTTTTTTACTCTCTTGATTTTGTAGGCCTGAGAGGACCTTTTTTTTTAAGCCCATTACAGTCTAGTGGGACAACAGAGTGGTGATAGATATATTTGGGTAAACCTCTTATGAAAATTCTAGATATTTTGGATTGGATTCAAACCTTTTGTCTTAGATCATCACACTAAAACCTTTATCTTTATTGTTTTGGGCATTTGCATCTAATGGGATAAACAAAAACATGTATCTTACAGAAATTAAAAGATTGTTTTTAATATAGTTACAATTAATTGATAGTAGTTTTCATCATCCATTTTAATTAGTAATTTAAAATTAATAACAGCAACTATGAAAATCTTGAAAAATGAATAAAAATACTAATTACCAGTTTAAATATTTTTAAACAAATTTTGAAATTCTTTCAGTAGTTAATTAAATTTTTTTTTATTGCAGGAAATGATTCTTTTCAAACATTTGAAGAAATATTGTCTATTGCAAAAGAGAAGAAAGTTGACTTTATATTATTAGGTGGTGATCTTTTTCATGAAAATAAACCATCCAGAAAATCCCTTCACTTATGTCTACAATTACTTAGGCAATATTGTTTAGGTGATAATCCTGTCCAGATAGAATTTTTGAGTGACCAATCAGAGAATTTTAAACATAGCAGCTTCCCAGTAGTAAATTACGAAGATCCTAACATCAATATATCAATACCAGTTTTTTCTATTCACGGAAATCACGACGATCCCGCGGGGCAAGGTAGTCTTTGTAGTGCCGATTTATTGAGCGTATCCGGATTTATCAATTATTTTGGAAAATGTACAGATCTTGAACAAATACAAATATCACCATTACTCATGAGGAAAGGAGAAAATCAATTGGCTCTTTATGGTTTGGGTTCAATTCGTGACGAACGTCTACACAGATTATTTCGTGAAGGAAAGGTGACGATGTTACGTCCAAGGGAGAATCCCGAAAATTGGTTTAATTTGTTTGTTCTTCATCAGAATCGAGTGAAACACGGTGTTACTAATTATATTCCTGAACAATTTTTAGATGACTTTTTAGACTTGGTTATTTGGGGTCATGAACACGAATGTTTAATCAAACCAGAGTGGAATACCGAACAAAATTTTTTTGTTAGTCAACCAGGAAGTTCCATAGCTACCTCACTTACTCCTGGAGAAGCTGCAAAAAAACATGTTGGTCTTCTTCAGATACATAAAAGGAGTTTTAAAATGACTAAAATACCATTGCAAACAGTTCGTCAGTTTTATATTGAATATATTTCATTAAATGAAACTGGACTTGATCTTGAAGATTCAGATATAACTAATAAAGTTATTACGTATTGTAAAGAAAAAGTAGATAGCTTTTTAGACAGAGCCATAATTGAACACACAGGTAAGTGTAATGTGTGGCAATTACTAAAACTAAAATTTAAAGTAGAATTTAAAGAAGAAAATATTGCTTTTAATTGTGTTATAACTACAAAAATTAAAAATTGTTTAAGTGCTTTCAAACTTAATGTTTTGTAGTTATTATGTCATGAAAAGTAATATTTTCTTCTTTAATGTGAAAATTTTAAGTTCAAAAGAAAAATAACTAAAATTAAGATAGTTTTTATAATATATTTGATAAAATGTCTGGGACATTAAGTATATATGTAGAAAATTTATATAAAATATTTTTCAAACAAGACAATACATTAAAAGTGTCTTGTCTGAAAAGGAAAAGATGAAGATGCCTCACACCTCAGGAAATAACAGTCTTACATGGAGTCAACCTTTCTTTAGAAACTTCTCATCTGCCTCAATAGTTTTTCATTTACTTATTTATTTTATATATTTTTTATAAAAATTTTATTATAAAATAAGATGAATATGAAAAATAAATGAATATTTCATTAGTATAAATATATTATGAAAGTTAGTTTAGATAGTTTGAATATCAAAATAAATATTTAAACAAACTGAAATAAAATGAAAGTTTTATGTTAAGATATTTAGAATTATGCACAATGCACTTTATTGTGGAGAAGTATAGAATTGTGTATTTTAATTTAAAATATTATCTAAAGTACTTTAGTTCATTAAAATGAAAATTGAAAAATAATAAATGGTATACTTTAAATTGGGTTTATTTGTTGCTATTTTTTGCACTTTTGTTCAGTGGCATGTTATGGATTCATGGGGCCCCAGGTAAATTTGAATTAGGAGGACCCATGTACAGTGTTGACTTCAAACACTTTTGTTTGGGGAAATTCCCCCGTATTCTCATTCATTTTTTTAACACAACTTCTGTGCTGTGCACCCTGCACCACATTGACAATCTAGAATTCCCAGATATGGTCCAAATTTAAATTTTGATATTTTTGGTACTGTAATGAGTTTGTAAAAGATTGATTTGGGGGCCACAAGTAATTACTGTTTTTGCCTGATTTTTAGATTAGTTCATTAACACTTGCGTTTAGACTAGGATATGAAGGATAATTGTGAGGGGTTTGGAAAGAAATATTTCTAAAACAAATTTTATTGATGTTAGATTATTAGAGATTCAATTATATAGTTTATTCTAACTAATACAGCATTTTTAAAGTTGCAAAATGCTTTAAATTTTAAATATGCTAATTGACATTATACTAGAGGTCCAAGCTCCTAGATGTTTTAAAATAGCTGGTGCATTGCAATTGTCAACTGCATATGAGTAATAAAGTATCATTCAATTTTTTGGGGGCAAAGGGTTGGAATGCCTCTCAAATTTATAGTGACATAGTTACAGTATATAGTTAGCAATACCTGTGTAGTGATGACATAAAGAATTTCAAAATAGGCAGACCGATATTGCAGATGAAGATTGGTCAGGATGTCAATATATCAATACATCTTTCACTGATGCAAAAATTGCCTTAATGGAAGAAATAGTGCAAGAAACTTAGAATACCATCTGTTTAGTTCTTTGCAGAAATTTCTCAGTGACAACATTTTGCCAACAACAAAGACATCACAGCTGCTGTGAAACAATGGATCCATATGCAGCCATAGTACTAGGATCCAATATTTGTTGTGTGATGGTATAAATTCTGAAATAACATGGGAGATTATGTGGGACATTAGAGGACAGTCCAATGCATCAGGTCCACATTTTAAGCTGTTTCTTTGCATTTGTAATTTTCAAATAAAACATTAGGCACAAAGACTTTTTGATCATATCTAATATTGTAATATATACAAACATAAACCGTAACCTGATATTGAATTAATCAGATCTAAAAAATAGATTAGTCACAACTATTTAATAGTATGCTTAGTGTAAATAATTTGGTTTTTAGGTCTCTGGTTAATTTATTTTAAATCTTATAACTAAATATAATATCTGTAGTAATAAATTTAATTTTTATTTTGTTTATTATTAGTTTTGTATTTAATTATTTTGATTTATACAGGAAATAGCAAACAGCCAAAAAAACCATTGATAAGATTAAGAATTGAGTATTCAGATAATTTTGAAACTTTTAATGTTCAGCGTTTTGGTCAACAGTACGTAGAAAAAGTAGCCAATCCTAAAGACATCATACAGTTTCATCGTAAGAAAGGAAGTGTTTTGAAAAAGGTGGATTTCAACATGGATGTCATGCAAGAAATATTAAAGCCCGAGTTATTAGATAAATCTCGGGTCGAAGATTTAGTTAAAGAATATTTTCAGCAAGTAGGAGAAAAAGATCAGTTATCATTACTGTCAGAATATGGTATGAGTTTTGCTGTACATGAGTTTGTTGAAAAAGAAGTCAAGGAAGCAATTCAGGATATAGTTACTCATCAAATGAACAAAACACAGACATTTTTAAAGTCTTTAGATATAAATGATATAAATGACATAGATATCGATAGCGAAATCCAAAAATATAAAGCCGAAAGGTTAAACTCTCAAGACGAGTCAACAGAAATCTCAAAAACCCTAGAAGAATCGCGCAAGAAGTTCGGTTCAATTAGCCACATTGATTTTTCTGACAACGAAATGGAAGAAGACCAAAATGCATCCGTTTCTTCAAAGCGAGGAAGAGGAAGAGGAAGAGGAAGGTGGGAAATTTTACGTGCCAGAGGGACCAAGCAGTCTTCCAGAAGTCCAGTAAGGGCGAGAGGAAGAGGAAGCAGATCTGTAACAAATTCCAACAGAAATAAATTCAAAGAACTAGCAACAGTTAAGAAATTTCAAAATAATGATTCGAGAGATGATCTAGTTCGACAAATTAATAGCAGAACGAGAAGAACTGCGTCTTCAAAAAGAAAATATAATTATAGTTCTGATGATTCTGATTAATTTTGATTTAGAATAAACTTGCTTAATTGTATAATTTTGATATATAATTTTAAATTTTAATTAATATTTAGTTAATGGTAGTTTTAATTTTACTTAAAGCAATATCTAAAAAAAAATAATAATAATAATTTCAAGTGTTTTTGGAACAGGTTATAATTTAAATTTATATAAGCTCAGTCCATAAGAATAAACATTAATTCAGGTAAAAATAAAGTATAATAAAGTAAGCTAATGAAAATAGTGTGAAGTCATCTCACTTTGCACTATTATTGTACTGTACATACAAATATTTGAATTTGAAAAAACAAATGAAATAAGTTAAAATACAGGATGGTCCAAAAGTCAGTTAACTACATAAGTCACTCGAACAAGCTGTCAAAGAACGTTAAAAAGTTATAGTTTTAATTTTGTTAAAGTACTGTACAAGTTGAACAATTTTTGTAAAATTCATAAGCAACTAGGACAGCAATTTAGTCTACAGCGGCTAACCGATTTTTCGGCTATCTTGTATTATATAATATATTTTATGTACTTTGCTGCAATAAATTAAAAATATTCTCTACACAATGCATAATTAAATATGATCAAAATTTTATATATTCATATATACATATATATTAATATATGTATATATGATGCGTATGGATCATACCTATGCAAGCGTGTTAAATTTCGAGGAAATTGTTGTTGTTAAAATAATAGTCGGCATTTCTGATTTTTAATACGGATAGAAATCTTCATCGATACCAAATATGTTTCTACGAATGAAATTTTAGTATTTTTAAAAGTGTTTAGAATTCAATTATTTATAAAACTTGTTAATAAACTGATTTATAAAAGATGAATTTATAAAGGAAATTAATATTTTTGTTCATTTAGTATTATTAAAGTAGTATCATTTTCTACTTTATAGATGTATTTCTGTATTGAATACTTAATTGTTAAATAAAATTTTTATGAATTATTGAGTAGATTTAGAATACTGTAGTGGATAGCCTATCATCAATTTTGTTTCTTATAATTTTTTTTTTTAAATTTGTACCCTAAGAAACTTATTTGGGTTATTTTCATTGTTCTAGTCTTTCACTATTGATTGAAGCATCTCCATGACAAGTTGATAAGATTTGATTTCTAAATTTAAGAAAAATGTAGATAGTTTTGTTCCAAACAAATAAAAACAGAATAGTTCTGAAAACTTATTTAATTTCAGATAAACTTAACAAGTCTTAAATTTACATAAAACAATTTTTCATATTTCGTGAAATTTTTCTAAGGATTAAGGATTAATTCCAATTGGACTTTGATGAATGGTTTGCTTTTGTTTACAGAACACAGAACCCAAGATAGTTTCGAAATAATGTAGCAACGTCATTAAAGATATACCTAACCACATGCCCATTTGTCCTCCTAGATTGCTGAATATATCTTGAACCTAGAAAAAGTTAGGTCATTTTAGAAGAAAATTTATTGAATAATATGTTAATAAAATAACATTAACCTGATATTTGGGATGACTTTTTAATACCACATGATCTAATGTTTGAAAATAAATACGAACTTTAGCAATATCAGAAGGAAGGATGCTGTAAAAAGGAAGATAACAGTTAGGATGCCCGAATACTTTTTATAACGTAGTATATATATCCTATATAAAATTAGATGTCGATGTATGGTTTGATATAAATATTCCACATTTTTAATTATATTCGAGTGTTGTTTGGAGCAATGATGCGGTGTTTCTTAACGTCAATGTTGATTATTGAAATATAACTCATTAAAAATCTTTGAAAAATGTGATTACTAAACTCTTATTGTATAATTAACTATGGAATAAGAGGTAATATTCCTGGCAAAATACAATTAATCATGAATCATTACTTAACTTACATAATACTATAGTGAATTTCTTACCTGGAATACATCTCCTTGTTAATCTAAATTTAGAATTTTCGAAATTAATCGAAATGATAAAAGTTTCTTTTTAAAATTTAAGTAAAATGATTACAAGATTGATGATTTTAAAATTGGTTAAGATTATATATATTAATTTCAACCTAAGAATGTAAATAAAAATAAAAGTCAGAACGATTGTTCGAAACATCTAAATAGAATTTCAAACTTTTCTAATTAAAATTTTATGCTAAATGTGAAGCTCCGGATCGGGTCCGAATCCCTCACTAACCTAATAGAAATTCCTAAGAGACAAGAAAGAAAACACGAGCAAAATTGCCAAAGTTCGTTTAAACATGGCGGCACGAATCCCCCCTCTTTCTCCAACCATTATGATCTTTAATTAACCATCAAAATTTAACAGCATCGGTGCCTCTTATTTACAAATTATCGTGCCGAATTTCGTTCTTAATCTTTATCTCACCCCGAAATATTAAACCAAACACACCGCGGGTATCATTTTTTGACATTGGGTTCAACGGGTCTCAAAATGTCGCGATTCCAAAAACCCGAACGGTGACGTGTGATACAATTACAATATTAAATGTTAATGTTATAACAGCTATGAAAGTAAAATGAATTGTTTCCCAGATTATTCTATGATTATTAAACAATTTATAATGCTATTTACATATATGTTTGTTATATTTAATTTACTTACTTTAGATTTTAGAGGATTCCATTTGGTTGAAGAAACTGACAGCTTGTATTGGATTTCACTGTTTAAATGAATACACAAAATTTAAGATAAATTAACGTTTTAAATATATGCCATATATATATGTATAGGCTGATATACTGTACAATGATGGCCAAAAGCTTAGGACCAACAATAAAATTTTACGTAGTTAATATTAGGCTATTAGACACAGTGTAATAGTGTAATATTAAGTATTTAATGGCTTCTTATTTAATGAATTTCCTGGAAGAAGCCATTTGTCTGTATAAAAATAGAAGTGGCATCATCAGGTTGTGGGGATGCTTCTCGCTACACGAAGCTGGCCCTATCCATCGACTAAATAGAAATATGAATCAATTATTTATTGTGATATCTTCGCAATGCCGGGTTGCAATTTTTAATCACATTTTTTAAAATTTATTTAATTTAAAATATATGCTCTCCACCCCAAATTAGTAGTTGCTTGCCCCTGTACATCATACTTTTCCTATTAGGAATAGAGTCAAGCCGGTCATCTATCTAACTCCGTTCTCGAGATTCTTTAAAGACAACAGTGGGAATTTATATGTCTACAAGTTTTTTTAAATTGCAACCCAACAACAGTACAGATCTATACTAGAAAACGTGATACTTCTCTATGTTAACGCTAATTTACCTTTAACCTGGAAAGTCCAACGTTATAATTACTCGAAACACCCAAGTAAATTGGTTAAAAGATGGTTTCAAAAGGATTAAATTAAATTACTCGAATGGCCCTGACAATTGCCGGACTTAAACCCCATCGAAACGTTACGGAGTGTTGCGAAAACTAATTTATAAACAAAAATTTTAAAATAATGAATTGTTTGAGGCTGTCCAAAAAACTTGGTCCTCCATTCCAAAGAAATTTTGTGAACGTTTAGTCGATTCTATGCCAAGAGGATGCAAAGCCGCCATTAAAAATTTGCTTACTCCACAAAATACTGAGGTATTTGAATTCGAATTTGTACTTTTTTTGTCCAGAGTAAAAACGTATGTAGTTTGAACAGAGGTAATTTTCATTAAAAAATAAATATTTACCTATTGATACTTGACATATACATTTAACAACAGCATCACATTAATTAAATTAACTTTTCAGTTAAAGGCATTTATAAGAAAAATTTCTTAGCTGTCCTAAACTTCTGGCCACCCCATTGTGTATATATAGATAATTTAATATTAATTTCATCTGAATATAAAATAACAAAAAAATTAAATAACATTTATAAAACTTTCTTTAAAAGAAATTTCTCTCTCAATACTTACCAACAAGGCAACGGACATATGCAAATATTTTCGTCATTTCTTAACAGTTGTCTGACGTCGTCTAAACAGCAAACTATAATATATACATACATACATATTTATATTAATATAATATAATATAAATATTATATTAATATAATATTTTGACATTTCCAGTATTTGTTTAAAATTTTTATGGAAACACAGCTTCCATCATCGAATGTTACGGCACGCCACTGTTAATTTTGAAAGCTTATAAAGATTTCTTTATGTTTGATAGACTGTCCATTATCTTAGCTATTGTCTCCGCCATACGGTTCTGTATATAATACTCTTTACCTTGTGTTACGTCGCGCAAATCGCAAGACGTGCTGTTACGAGGAAGCGGCCATGTTGGATCCGCGCAACTGCATTTGTTTTGACTTAATTGCTGAAAACAATCTCGAAGACAAGTCTAAAATAAAATTTAATACTTTTAATCTTATAAAAATGAATTGTTTTATTATATTTATTTAATACTTACGTTCCTAGTGTATAAAAATCCTTCGCCATCATTCGGATAATCGATACAATTATCGGGATAAGGAGGTTTCGAACGATGAATATTTACCTAATAAACATTTTTTAAAGTTATATATATATATATATAAATGGACATGTATGTCCCTATATTTCACTTTTTCGCCAAAACTACACATCGCACGTGAATGGTGTTTGTATGTGGTGGTAGCCCCAAGTCTCCATTCGTGCATAGGGGTTGTTGCGTCTCGATAGCTGTAAGGGTGCGGGAGATATGAGGTTAAAAGTAGTTGAAAGTGGCTTTCTATTTCGAATGTTTTGTTCGATTTTTTCGAATTTGTTCGAATTAAATTCGAACATAAAATTCGATTTGGTTCGATTATAGAACGATTGTAAACGTTCCAGAAACGTTGAAAATAGTTCGTTTGACTAAACGTAAAAATTCTCTAATTAGTCTGGAAACGGGGAACCTAATTCTTGCATTCTGTGATAACGGGTAAGATTAGCTATAATATAATTATCTTAATCTTCACTATCGTTACTTTTTGCCCAGCGAAGCGGGTCCTTGCAGCTAGATTCTAGATTACTTAGAAAAACAGCCTTTTATATATATAAAAAAAACTATACTATTACATACAAATAAAAACCCAGCGAAGCGGGATCTTGCAGCTAGTATATATATATAGAAGAAGAAATGTTAAATATTTCGTACCTGTTCGATAGATATCGAGGTTTCTAATTCCGACGTGATGGCAATTCCTTCGTTTTCTGGCAGCGGTTTAACATTTGAAGGATGGATAATTAATCTTGCTCCGATATTATTTGTAAGATCAAATATATATTCGTCGGTCTCCAGATTTAATTCTAGGTGAAGGCCTGAAAATTAATTATATCTTTTCGAACTTTCTGTGGAAAAATTCATTTGGAAAGTTTACTTACCGTCTCGAGACCAAAACTCTATGAACTGTCAACTATAAACTTTAATTTTATAGCAAATTTTGCACTCTCGTTTTACATAAAAAATTTTCATTTATTTTTGTAAATATCCTGCAAAAATTGCGTTTTTTTTTCAATACTTAAAAATAATTTGTAACAATTTTTCCGAAATTATAAACGTTACGGGAGAAAAGGGGCCCTTTGTACGAATCAATCGTCTTTTGGGAGTAAAATCGATATTCAGTTGTAAATTTATCCATAAAGGAACCCCGCACTCTTCTTGGGTGCGGGGATCCTTTATGTCTTCTTCAAAAGTAGGTTGGATGAATTTGGCCGAAAATGAAATACATTTTGGTTTACCAAGGCCCGATGCTTATTAGTCTTTCGATCGGATTCCGTTTTTGCAACTGCACCGATTACGGGATTGCCAAGACGATGAGATTATGAAGCATAGATTATTTATTGTCGTTCATACTTTAATACAAACACCCTAAAAGGGAGAAGCGAGGAAACTCGAGTCACGTCCACCTGGTTAATCCTGGATGATGACCAGAACGGATTCCAAATAATTCGTAAAACGTGCTGATCATTTACGAATAAAACAGTTAACTTATATGTTAATTTATTTTCTAAAGCACTTTAATCCGCTTTTTCCACGATAATAGTCAAAATTGCGTAAATCCTTCCATTTACGTGTACTTGATGAAAGTGTGAGGATTAGGAAAATGCGTGATGTACTGTACAGTACGTGCAAAACCTATCTAATACGGAAACCTACACAAGTTCTGCTTTACACAGATTTTACTGTATACATTTAATGAGCTCGAAATTCTCTTTTATGAAATGTTAATGAAGTTTCTTCGGATAAAAATGTAGGAAAAAATATATTTATTTGGGGAATAAATAAAATTTCTCATGCTAATTTTTCGAATAAATATTTACACAGAAGCATTACATCGAAAGTATCTGAAAAGATCTTCGAATACAAAAATTTGTGTAAAAATATAAGCTGGGAAATTTGAATATTACATTTTAGCTTGTTAAAATAAATATTTTTAAGAATTGGATGATATTTCTTCAAAATAAATAAAAAAATATTGAACTCACCGCTCATACTTCCATCGGTAGTTGCTCGAAGAATATCTTTGCCGTTTTGACCAGAGTTAAATGTGAAACAATTTCCATAAAGAAAAGTATGAAATGTCGTGAAATTTCTGAAATAAATGGTTTACGATATTAAGAATTACACGAAAATAAAATAATTTAATTTACTGATAATGTCCAACTGTAATTTAAAACACACTGAAGATCTGTGTGTCCACTCTACGAAATATCATCGATTTATCACATAACCGAATATGGTTTCAGAATGTAATTTTAAATTAAATGTAAACTTTATTAATTTACCTTTCGCCTTTATAAGAGGGAGGAAAAAACAAAAATTCCATAAATATACAAAATATAATGTGTCTTTTTATACATAAACTAACGAATACGTGCGTAAAGCAATACTTATTTGAACAAAATTAATAGGTAACAATTATTTATTGCGACATGGTCACAATGCCAGGCTAATTTATTTAATTTAAAATATATGCTCTCCACCTCAAATTAGTAGTGGATTGCCCCTGTACGTCATACTTTTCCTTTAACAAGAGAGTCGTGCCATAATCTAACTCCTTTGGGGGAGATTTTAAAATTGAAATCACATGATTTCCGTTCTATACCGGAAGTTCGTATATAATTAATCACACCTACCCTAAACTTTCTATGTCTGATCTCGAATTTCAAATTGCAGCCCAATAATAATATTTGCAAACAGAAAATCCAGCTCTACACCCATAATTTTATTTTCTCGTATAAAAGTCGGAAGATCGTTTATGAACACATTTTCTAATTGTTCATACAGGATTCTGAACATCCTGTTCAGAATGTCCTCTTTGTTTGAGGCCCAAGAATCTGGGGCTTGCCCCGAGGTAATTCTTTGTTTGAGGTTCAAGAATCTCTTCTGATAAAATCCTCGATGACGTATCTATTGTTAGAAAATAGCTGTTTAAGTAAGTTAATAAGGGAGTTGGAAATACCAAACTTACTGAGTTTCCATAATAAGATATCATTAGTCCATAGAGGCAAATGCTTTCCTCGGATTAATAAACGCTATATATAAATATAACTTGGGGCGTTTTCGCCAACACGGAGGAAAAATCTTTCTAAACGCATTGATTGAAGACATTGATCTGTAATTTGCTGGCATAGACCCGAGACCTTTCCTGTATAACATATTTAAACGCACTTCCAAGTAGGAAATCTGCAGCTTAGCTCGAAATCATCGAACATAAGTACGCCAAGGTGTGCTAGAAGGATTTTTACCACTCCATTTTAAATTTTATCTAGAACAGAAGCCTTTCCGTTTCGCAAATGGTTCAAAATCATGTTAACTCCTAGAAATAACATGGTTTTGAGCCATTTATTGAGTTATAACCATAGATAATTGGGTCATCTAGTAGTGGATTACAATTAAAAGTACAGTAGAGCGTCGTTTATCCGAAGGAATTCCAGTCTTCAAATTTAATTTTTCGCCAGTGCTGTGGCGCTGTAATCTTTGGCTACGTCTTGGGCTACTCAAATATTTTACATTTTTTATACTAAATTAACTTCTAAAGTATAATTTTTTATTGTTTTTATATTTTTCAATATATTTATTTTGTTTGTACAAAATAAAAAAATAATTTTTAACGATACAATAGTCTTCGTTAGGCTTAACATCGATGAAAATTCAACGTGAAGTGACACGCAACGGAGAAAAATTTCAACACGGGATAAATTAATATATTTTTTCGTACATAATTGGTTATCCGAAAAATAAGTTTTCCGAACAACCCCAGTCCCCAATTGATTCGGATAAACGACGCTCTACTGTATATACACCAAAATTAATTAACCAGAGAGGACCAAAAGATTGTTTTAACTTAAAGATATTTCTCTTTAATTTGGCATAATTTGCGAATGCTTTTAATTAAATTATGTGTTGTTAGAACCCTTATATAGTAATATTAAATTAAAATAATATAAAATCTTTATAATAATAATTCAAAAATTCATCGGTTAACTTACAAGTGGTCACACGGTTGGCCCATGAATTGGCATTGGTGTACGAATTTTTGTACCTGGTGTCCCATTTGGATTTTCTTAGACAGAGGAAGTGATACGTAAGCGTTAGAAAAAGATTTCATTATGGATCCTTCGTATGAAACTGTATTATTGGTTCTGTTACGAGGACACGTTGCAAATGCAGTAGATGCCTAATTAAATACATTTCCACGTTAATCGATGCTAATAAATTTTGTAAGTTCCTACCATCAAAATTAAGCTTTTTGTTATTTTATAGTAATTAAAAATATAAAAAGTTTTTATAACAAAATCTGATAACAGATGGTGCCACCAAAATTTTCTATGTCACCGGGAACGTTAAGCAACTCGTTGCTGGATTTTTACTATTAAGTTATAGAAATTTTTGCTTATTCTTGGAATTTGGAAAACTTTTTTGAAAATATATAAGTTAAATAAATAATAATAATAAATACTTACAGATAAAGGAGGAGAGCCAATAAGAGTTTTCAGTCTTTTGGAGGAAGCCTCTTCGTTATTGGTTTGAGAACAAGTAACATTTAAGACGTGGCATAAACTGCTTGCTTTCAAGAGTAATCCGGATGTACAACAAAACGAATCTAGAGCATTACTTCTTATTCTAAAAATGATTTTTAGAAAAGAAAATTAATGTCGTCGATTAAAAATAAAATCATTTAAGAATTATCGATGATAGGAAGCTTCGAAAACCTACGAAATCTGGAGTCTGGCTAGGTCAAGGAAATGTGGCAAACCGTAGCTCTGTGTACAAGTAAGGATTACCTTGCTAGAAAATGGCGGTTTGTTGCCCTGCCGTAAAAGGCAAGGCGCGACGGAGCAGGATTTCCTGAACCTACCGACCGTTGTACAGTCTATGTCTCTTGCATCACTACTAGGAGTGACCAACTGTCATTCGAGACGTCTTCCCAGACTAGCATTTTGGAATGGATCAGTGTGCTGCTCAACAATAAAGGTGAAATTGAAGAGTTCATCGGTCTGTCTCGCGATCAAACGATCGTGTTTCTTGTTGGAAATCAGAGCCTGCGGCGTGTGCCTTGACACCCACTATTGTGTACCAAATTTATATCAATCCTCTATTGTAAACTCTTCTGTTTGAATGACTTATATTTAGAGGAAGAGGGGAAAGCCAAAGCTGTAGCCCCGGGAACCGGGTAGAATATGTATAATTAAATTTTAATTATACAATTTAAAGATATTCTTAGAGACATTTTATATCTTCTCGCATCTCATTTCAATAATCTCTGAAAAGTTCTTTCAAAAACGAATAGGATACTGTATTGTTAAAAATAGGGCATTCGACGATTCACGAAGAGAACAAACACGTGAAATGATTTGCTTATGTAAAATCTAAGTAAATCATTTGTTGTGATAGATACCATATTGTTTAGATGTACAGGATTTTTATTATACTAATTTCGTCCGTCGTAAGTTGGGGCCTTACCGAACACATTGCACTTATTTTGAACCTTAATAATGACAGATGTAGTTAGCTGCGATAAGCCAGGGTCCGGGCCTTTGGGGGAGCTAGTTAATAAACTTAACAGAAATACAAAAACCCAATTTACAATTAATTTTGCTTTTGTTGTTAGGTTAATCTAATACTAAACAAAGATAACGTTGACTTACCTATTGTAATTACAAACGGTTACTGCAGGAAAATCCAATTTGCTTTCGGTATTAACTTGAACATTTAGTACGGTAGGGTATTGAAAGTATTCTCTTAAATAAGCTATGCTATGAAACAAACAAAATCCCATGCATATCAATATCAACGTAAACCATACTGTGCGATTGATGATGCCATTTCTCGAAGGTTTCCTCTGGTGTTTTGTGTCATTTTGTATATGTTCCAATTGGCACGATATTGTTGGCCACGCGTGTTTGGACCAAGATCTCTCCGAATTTATATTCTCTTCCGAAAATTGATTTTCGGAGTTTTTCATCATAGTGCTGAAGAGCTCCAAGCAAAGGCTGTCTTTCCTATCCATGTTGGAAAGCGTAGTGAAGAGAAGGATGCTATCTATCGATAATTCTTATTGGATAATAACGTGACGTCATTTTTCCAGGAAATCACTTAAAATATAAATATTATTAATTAATTTTTACATATTTTTTTTAATAAAAATTATTTGTTGGTTTTCGAATGAAGATCGATGTATTTACTGGGAAGTAGTAAACAGACTTTGAAGTCAATTGTGTGTGGAAGGAAAAAAATTATTTTTAGAATTTTACAAAAAGAAACATTATTAAAAGTCACGTAACATTATATTTTTATAATTATATTTTTTTAAATTTAATTTTTTTTTCATAAAGTGTCAGGTTTCTTCTGTGTTCTTTTAGTAACAAATTACGACTTTATAAAGACTTTTAATTTAAATTTAAATTTTATAAATGACAAATTTATTTTTAAATTTCAATTTTTACAAAGTATTTTCTATAAAAGAAAAACTTGAAAATAAAATATGGGATTTAGTCCACGAAGAAGAAAATAGGGCATGGTCTATTATTGATAAATTGAAATGACATCAATTCTATTGAGCTGATAATATTTACATTCTATTTTTCGTGATTAATAAATCTAAATTCGTAACTATTTTTTATTCCATTAAATTATATAAAAACTCCATTATTTTTTACTCCTGTACAACAATATAAAATAACGAATTTACAATAAATATTTACGTAATTAATTCTTCTGTTTGTAAAGAAATTAAAACATATATTTATCATTATTGATAGTGTTTTGTCATTAAATTATATTATCATAATATTAAAAAAAAACACTTTATTTTCTTTTTATTATATTATTAAATTATGAAAATATTGACACTGTACTTGTATTTTGTATCACGTCCCTCCAAGAAAAATCGGTATGTGAGAGTAAGTTAAATTGTATTTTTTTCGATATTTAGAAAATAAATTTACTAAAGATATTGTTTATTTTTTTTTTTGTTAAAGAATTGAATTAAATCTAGTTTTCATTTCATTGATTTTTCTTTCGCTTTATACTAAAGGAGAGAGTGTGGTTTGTATTTTCAAATTCGATCGAACTGTGATGCAACTAAACATATCTATATATCGTGACACGATTACGTGTAACATCTCCCCAGCAACTGAATACATCAATAATTTGTAATTTTCAAACATTTTTCACATTTATATAAATGTTAATTATATTTTAATCTAATCTAAATCGTTTAACTGTGTTAAAGATCGTGTCTTAATTATATTTAATTTATTTCTTAATATTATCATAGTATATAACTTATAGGTGTAAAGTTGTTCTAAATTTATTCAATAAATAATATTTGAATTTCAATTATTATTAATTAAGTACATAGAGTAATTAAATAATTGAAGTGTGTGTTCTCGACACGAATTAATGAAAATATTGAAGATAATTAGTGTATGTTCTGATACGTTCATTATCTTCTTCAACACTTAAAAGTGATCATTTCGTTATACTAGTCACGTGAACGTTCAATCGTCTCACCCATTCCAGGCAACAATTGATCCCGGGGCAGATTTTGACCTATTTTTAAACAACGTTAAAGGTTATTTTTTGTTAATCCACACGAAAAGAATCTAAATGCCTCCTGTCAATATTAAAGTTCTGTGCAAATCCATACAAATCGATTTTTCCGATTCGTGTATTAATTTTCTGTTAACTACTTAGCTTAATTTTCCAAATTATATTGGTGAATCTTTATCTATTGATATAACTTGACAACTCGTACTGAGAAATAATAGAATTCTGAGTATTCTACACATTATCAGATACATAATTTAACTGTTATTTCTTTAAAAAGTTTGAATAATTTTAATTCATTCAGAAAACTCCATCCTATCCATGTATGGACTCATCTAACATTCATGCAAATCTTGGTTCTTGAACTCAAGTTTTATAATTTATCATCCAAAATTCGGAGGCGATAGTAGGAGATTTTTCACCGGGATAAATTTAAGTCAGGAGAGAATGAATCATATAAAACTACTTAATTTTAATTAAGTTACTTAAAAATGTCTACTACGTGACCGTGCGACGAAGCATTAGCCACGGCAAATCGGGATTCGAACCCAATTCAGACCTCATAATTTATCGCAGACAATAAAGGTCGGGGCATCTTTCGCATCCCTCATCCGTGTTATTCGACCCCATTGAGGGTCAGACCCGCCCTTAATGGGCGTAATACATTTGTAGTCAAGTATTTAACTTACAATACGCGGTGTCCGGTGTTAATCAATCGATCAATCTACTCTAGAATATAATATTGGTCTCGTGTACAAACTTAATTTAAATTCCTCACGTATAATCTCGCTTCGTATCAAAGAAAAAAAAATCAAAACTTATAAAAAAAAAAGACCGATTCTCATTTAGAAAAAATGTCCTAAAATAAATTTTAATAATTTATATTGTAAAATTATTAATTTTTTCATTCACGATTCGTTTCAGCAATTTTGATATTTTATATAAAAATGATTTTTTTGGAAATATTTTTAAAGAAAAATAAGTTTAATACCCAAAATCATTTAAATGGAATTATTCAAAATATTAATTCTGTTACTTTAATTATAAATTTAGTTATTAAATTTTGAAAAACACAATTAAATTTTAATTTAATAATTTTATGTGGTTTTTGATATGTTTATTATATGTAACAATTAATTTATTTATTTATATTTGTTAAAATATTATTTAAATATGCTTTTTAAATAAATAAATTACATTTTCGGTTCTTTAAAATTGAAAAAACTTCCCAAAAATTCCTTAAAAATTCAAAAATATTCCCTAAAAGCTCTTAAAAATTCAGAAATATTCCCCAAAAGCTCTTAAAAATTATTTAAAAATTCAGAAATATTCCCCAAAAGCTCTTAAAAATTCCTTAAAAATTCAAAAATATCCCCTAAAAGCTCTTAAAAATTCCTTAAAATTTCCAGAAAAATCCCTCAAATTTTTAAAAAATTTAAATTAGAAAATATTAAAATTTACTTTTCAAAAAAACCTAAAAATATCTTTCGAATTTTTAAGTTCAATAAATTTTAATTATTTTTAAAATTCACTTATAATTTTACTATGTAAGAGAGATGTTATTATATTAATTAATAATTTAAATGGCCATTTTCATGATTTTTAATTTTTAAAAATCTTTAAAAACTTGGAAATTAAAGAATATATATATATTTAAAAGCTATTTTATTTATTTATCAAATCAGACATCATTTTAATTACAATTTAACAGTAATAAATATTAATTTCAACTCTTTTAATGTATATTTTATAAACTTTTTGTCATCCAATATACATAAATGATCTAAATATCATTTTTTTAATATTAAATTTTTTTATTTTATCACTTCGTTCTTTTATTTTCAATTATTTAAATTACGAAAATTAAGGTATAACAATTTTGTCTGTCTGTCACGCTCTCCGTTTCTGTAATAAATTGCTGTACACTATTGAAATCTTGTATACAAATTATGGAGATCCGATTTTATTTAAAAAAAATAATAATAATAATTTAAATAATAATATTCGTTACGTTCAGTATATCATTCAGTTTTATTTGTTTTTTAAGAGAAAAAAAATTTAATTTGCATTTTCGACACCAGGAGGCGAAACGTTCTCCAGAAGACGACCGTTTGCGCGAGGACTGCAAGATTCCGTAAGCTGTTACGTCAGTTTGACGTCATTTCTTACATTCGTCCGTTGTGAAAGCGAAAGGATGACGTTAATTTTACGTAACGGTGTATCGTTTTCGAGCGAACGGACTATAGTCTTATAATTCTCTCTTGTTTAGTCATTTTCAACTTCTTAACACAAGGAATTTTTTTTTTGTTTTGTTCTGAGTAGTGTTCTAGTGCTTGGTATATCACAATTACAATAAAAAAAGGTTGTTATTAAACGCAATAACTCTTCATTATTATTCTTATTCTGAATGGAATGTTGCGTATTTATCTATACAATAAATATTCATTGTGTATTAATTAATAAAACAAAACACACAAACAACAATTTCTCTTTTAAATTGTAAAAACTGCATGACATACTGAGCGTAACAACAAAAATAAAATCTCATCCATCATCGTCTACCATTTGTTAATTTTAAAATAAGGATCCAGACTTTCGGCCAATGAGTGCAAGATCTATGTGCAATTCGTAGATAATGAAACCCTAAATAATTCCACGAATGAGAGAAACTTATAATAGGATAACGAATTATCCTGACAAATTCCGGTTGTGGCATTCTAATAGTAGTAAAACTTTTTTCGAAAAATGATACACGTCCAGTTAGTTGGATGATAATGTAAGTATACCTATCGAAAGACGAATCCAAGGTCCTCTCAAGAGGGGTCAATAAGGCCATTTGATTCGGGCCTCACATTTAAGGGAGCGTCAGAAATATTTCTAGTGTATCGAGTGAACAATGTTTACTTTATTTGAAAAATATAATTTCTAACGCTATTTTAGCGTACAGAGGTCTTACAAAAGGTGCGTGGCCCCAATTACTCGAAACACCCTGGTGCAATTAACCGGATCTATCTTTAACCAATCGCAATCGGCATTTTCGTGTTGACGTATTTGATTTTCAAATTCTAACCAATCAGAACTGAGAAAATTCATAATTTTTAATGTAATTTAACTACTATAGAATGCTTCAACCGAAAAATGAAAATCGTTGTAAATATTGTATACAGCTTTTAAAGAATTGCATTGTATCCAACCTATATTTTAATTTTTAAATAAAAAAACAGAAATATTATTTATTAATTTAAAAATATTAAACAATTGAAATATTTAAATTTTAAATAAAAAATCTTAAAAATAAACATAGTCGTGTTTCCTCATATCACAGTTTAAATAGTTTAAATTATGATGTATTTTATCATAAAACACTAATAAATTTTTTATATATCGATGTTTACAAATATTGGTCCCTCCCTCGACACTAGATTTTAACGATTTTTCGATTATAATTTATGATTAAAAATCGATTTTAGAGAAATACTCTAAAAGAAGTAATTCTTTCGTGCCATATTCGATGAAAAATTCGGATAATCCGGAAGTACTGTTTACAAATAGGAACTGAATGTCTTTTTTGAATAAATTAATACAACAATTGTTAATGTACACGAACCCGTATCCCACCTTTGTGTGTGCGTAATTCACTTGCCACAATCCCTTAAACAGTGGGTACTCCTGAGATTGATGGAATATTTCTTCTTTTTTTTTACGAGCTTATATTTCGCTATAAAATTCAAGCGATGTCGTATATAATTACGTCATCCGGTCGTTTGTCTACCAAACAATCTCTGATAATGTCCAAAATAATTCTTAATCTCCTATCCAAGGCTCGAAGATGAGGTTCGGTTAATATAGGATCGACGGGATCGTTTTTCAGTGACGTCCTGAGTAAATCACTTAATTTCTGCGATCCTAAATAAAGATCTAACAACCTTTTTAGTGTCGATTGACGAATTATGCAACATTGGTAGATGGGTGCTAAGATTGACATTTCGTCGTGGTGTGGCTTACCAAACCTGTAAAGAAACGTTTTTAATTATAAAGTATCATCGTCTTCATCGCATAAAATCCTCATTAATTACGTTTCACCCGCTAATTTTTGACTATTTATGTCGGTATTTAGAGCCTTTAGACGTAGGAAAATGTAACACTCACCCCCGTCCGTGATCCAAATGAAGAGTAAAAGTGTTATTCCCGAATATCTTGAATGTTTCGTAATGATGTCGATCCATGTTCCCTTTAACAGATTATATAAAATTTACAATAAAAAAATTATTATTATAATTAAGAACGATTATTATTTACCATCACTTCCTGTCTACCGAACATAATTTTAGTAAATGTACATGGTTAACTGACTTTTGGTATCACATTTTATTACTACTTTCATTAATTTAATTTTCGAATTACATTAAATATTAATATATTAAAACGAATTATTTACAGCCTCTGTGTAATGTAATCTTGTTTACATTATTATAATCTACATTATGATCTTTGGTATAAGATAAAAATAATAATAATTTACATTAATTAAAGCTACCGTACAAATCTAAACACACATCATATACTGCGTGAAGCAATAATTATCAAGGTTATTTTACTGAATAAACATCGATTGAGAAATTATTTTGATAATTGATATAATTTATTTTTTGGGGGGATTTTGAAGTAAAAAAATCTAGCAGAGAGTTACTTAATTTTACCAGCAACATTTAAAATTTTGGTGGTGTCATATTTTATTTAAAAAAAAAAAAATTGTAAATGCTAGTAACTCTACTGGAGATAGAGATACAACACACGATTGCCTTTATCTCCCCACCTCCTCGACCTTTAACCACCAAAATTTAACAGCATCAATCCTCTTAATATACAAACCTCCTTGAAAAATTTCAGAAATTTTCGACAAAAAACAAGGGAGTTATTAAGGTTTAAAGTGGGTGAACAAATTCGTGCCATACAAATACACACTAACAACAACGAAAGATTATAGAAATTGTATAATCTTTAAAATTAATTTTCAATAATAAAGACTATTTTTTACACTATACAGGTTTAGTATAATCTACAATTATGTTTCAAAATGTTATTTTAAGCGCAACACAAGAAAATATTACGAGGGGATCGCGGTCGCTAGTTTGAAATCACAGATTTATATGACACATTCGAGAATGGCATTAATGAATTCACAATGGATACAATAATAATAAAAGTGATGTAACTAAGGAGCTGATATACGAAGGATAGTTTCAAAAGCATTAGTTATCTCAATTTTGATAATTTGAGTCCATTGTTCGATGTTTTCTCAGTCTGACTCGATAACTGATATTTCAAAGAGTGTCTGATATTTAAAAATCGAGCTGTAAAATAATAATTTATAATAAAATGCTATCTGATCTTCACTCGAATGTTAGAATTTGATTGTTTATATCTTTACTTTCTTTAATTATCATTATAATTTCCAGGAATAATTAAATACCTTCAAAAATTTAAGACATATATAACGATTACGCGTAAATCTGGAAGAAAAATGTGAATAAAAACAACCACTTCGTGTGAAAAAAATGACTTGTAGACACCAAAATTCGCATTCAATAGCTTATTTCTGGTGTTTAATATTTGAAAATTCGCTATAGAAAATACACAATGAACAATATACTCAAACAATATCCTTTTCCGAATAGAGAAAGTACAAAAGTCAAGCAACAAATGAAAGAATTAAGTCATTTGTAAAGAATATAAAAGCCATTTTGTCTTTCAAATTAACAAATTATTTCGAAACTTAAACTTTTTTAAAAGTTTCAAACAACTGCAGACGTGTAAAATCGAGTTTTTTTCCTTCTTTTTTTAGAAAAAAAAGGTGACAACAAAATGTATTAAATTTTTTTTAAAAGAATTCCAAGCGAAAGAGGAGATACAGCACAATAATTTTGACCTGAAACTAATATAATCGCCATAACGTGCATATGAAATTTCTCTAATTCATTCAAAGAAAATAGTCCAAAAAATATATATAAAAAATATTTCATTAGATGACGGAAGTGTCGTACTTCGTTTCCTCTTCTTTTGTCCAACGTCGATTCAAAAGTAAATCGGATTATTTGACCTTATTAATGATAATCGCGGTACTTTCTACTATACATAAAAATAAAAAGCAAAAGTATACAAACCAATGAGAAAATCTAGAACGGCCATATCCATCAGATCTGCCATTCTTCTACCTTCGTCGTAGGGAGGAGATTTGATGACGTTTTTACAATAGTCGTTATTTAACTCCCAACTCGCTTTACGACGTTTGTGATAGGATCTTCTCCAAGGATGCCTCCAAACTTTTCTTGCCGCTAAAGTTTTCGGTGGTAGAAAAGCGGCAAAACTACCTTCTAACGTGTCGGGATGACCACAAACGGCGTGACCCGTATCGCAATAATAACCGCAACGACCGTGAAAGCATAAATTATTTGCTGAAATTAATCAGAAATAAATAAATAAATTATTTATTTATTTATTTATAAAATAAAAATAATTCTTTAGAAACCTGGCGATATAAAAAATGTTTTTATCAATTCGTATTCGCTGAGAGCGTAAATTTCGGATGTCATGTTGAGAATCCTTCCAACCACGGGTGGTGCCCTTCGAAATCCTAACAATCTGCACGTTAAAAAGGGGTAAGAAATGTTCACTTTATACACGAAAATTCTCCCGAATTTTTATATTAAATCTTAAAAATTACCTATCCAAATGATACGCCGCGATCTCGCTGTTATGTCGTTCGAAATCCACAAAGTAAAAATGATTCGGATCGGTTTCTTTTTCTCTTGGAAATCTAAAAAGAAGTTGTTTAAAATATATTTGAAATTACTCAATTAATTTTATAGATTTTTACACATAACTAATTGCATTATTCATATATAAAAATGGTGTACGAGTCTACCTTCAATATCGCATTAAGGTTGATAAATATTAATTATAGTCTATAGAAGTGCTTATTAACAATTAATTTAATTAATTTTTTATAAATATTCTTCGTTAATTTTTATATAATTAACCGCACCTAATTATAATATAAATAATCAAACGATTAATTTTCTAAATTATTTGATTTTATCATTATTTTTTAGCAATGTTATAAGTGATAAAACAATGTAAAGTGCTTTTATTAATACCGTAAAACTCTACATTACAGTATTCTTTAGTTATTTTACAGTAAAATATAGTACAATTATTATAAATATTAAGTAAAATTATAAGTTAATATATTAATACATGATCATTTACAATTTATTATGTATAATTATGTATTTACAGTATCAGTGCTTATAGGACTGCCAATGTAGATATAGTAATACTTTATACTACAAATTTACTGTATATATACTGTAAAATACGAATCTTAAAGTATTTTTTCGCTTCCGCATTTGTAATTTTACTGTATTTACAATAGTAAAACGTTACTTTAATAAATAAATATACTGTAAAGTAACTTTAACTCATTTTTTACGGTTTATTCTCTTAACTTTACACAAGAATTATTATACACTTAAAAAAAGTTAGCTGGAAACGTACTAAACAATTCATCATCAAAGTTAATTGCCAAATGCATTGGTATAAAGTAACTAATTTGATATTCCACCAGTGGAAAATACATTTAATATCCATTAATTATAAAAACATAAAATAAAGGCAATTAATTATAACGAAAGTGAATAACTTAAGCTACTTAACAGAGAAAAAAAATTGAATTTACCAACGAAAAAAACTTAAAAATATATCTTTAAAAAAAATAATAATAATTTAATGAAACGTGACCTTTATTTATTCGGGTTACATTTATTTATAGAGCATCAAATTCGTGTTTACTCTAAATTAATTTATATATAAATAATATAATCCTTCCCCCTTCCAAATTATAAAGGTTAATGACCTTGAAGTTACCCGGAAATTTAATAATAATTCTGATAATAAAAAAATAATACCTGCAGGTGAATAAACATTGATGTAATAGTCCACATATCTATATAATAAATACCATAATTTAAAAGAAGAATCATTAAGCTCGGTAAAACGAGTTTTAATGATATTATTGTAAAACTTATAACTGTTTTTTTAAGGAAAATATCTTATTTTCCTTAAAAAAATAACCCTAAGCTTATTATATGATACTCGATTTTTTCTTTCTTTACTGAAGGATTTTTTCAATTGATGTTTGTCTCCGTCGATAATATTTCGAGAATCTTCACGGTAAGGAACGTGATTTCTAAAAATGTTTCGAGTGGAAAAAATCAAAAAAAGGAATCACTTTCGATATTCTATACACTTTCTCTTTTTTTCCAATAAATAAATAGATAAATAAATAAATAAAAATCCCTTCATAGCATTATAAAAACGTGACTAGATTCTTCGATAGGTGTGCATTAATTCGCTTGTCTTCTAAGTGACCTATGACCTTATAAAGGGCGTAACGACCCACTTCTCGTTATGATCTAACGTTCAATAGTACTAAATTGATTATTTCATATCAGATAAAGTTAACTTTTACGCTATATTAAGTAGCGTTTTTCATGTCTTTTTAGAAAATACCTTAAAAGAATTCCTCATCCTCCATTAAATCTTTAAAATGTCGTTTGAAATTGTTAAAAGGTCAGATACACACCCGAGAGACTGGATTTTTTTTTCATTTTCACTTAAAATACATTTATTTTTTAAGGATTTTGTCTTCCGCAGTGACATCACAGAACTTCCTAATGAACTACGGTATGCAGTAGTTAAACACTTCAAGGTTATAACACCAGAAGAAAACTGTTTTTATTGATCGTAAAGTCCAGCCTACTCTTTGACTAAAATGATTAATGTAACGTATTAACAATGAGAATTTTATTAAACTAAACAAGTCTGAGAATTATCTTTGATATTATATATATAGTCTATATACTATTTATAAGGCATACAAATCCGTTGTTAAACTATATTAAGTAGAGCGTGGAAAATGAATCTTAAAAAAATCTATCCGAATACGTAATTATTGGAAGATCTGTCTCCTATTTTTAATAATAAATCTCATTTAAAGGGGATCATTTTCTATACAGAACGATGCCATTTATTACTTTTTTTTAATAATTTGGGGTGTTTTCTTGATACATAATAATGTAATTTAGTCAATAAAATCGTCGTTTCCTCATTTTATAAACGAACTTGTGTGTCTTTTCACTCTCCCAATCCCATAGAAAGTTATAATAAGAAAACATTGAAAGTAAGGAAAATTTGGGTCACCCCACGCTCATTATCTCGAAAGGAAATGAATTCCTAATAATACACATTCAAAAAAATACAACTGATACGAATCTTAGAGGAAGGAATTACTAAAGAAAATAAATAAAATGTCTTCCCGTATGTACAAAACCACTAAAAAATTAAATTTGAGTATAAAAAAATTGAGAAAAAAAAGGAATAAAATCGAGTAAAATTCTGTAAAATTTTCCTTATAAAAACTAAAAAAGTTCTGCAGAGATGTACAATACAGACAAACGGAACGTACGTCTCGATTGTTTTTTTTATTTTTTTAAATTAACGTGTTTTGTTTATTGGCAATTATATTAAAGATATACAATTCGTGAGATGTAGAGCGAGACGGACAGACACGCGGATCGACACTGAAAACATTTCTAAAACTATTTATCGACTATTTTTATACTGGTTAATATAATTTTTTTCTTTATTTAGAAATTGTCAACTTACCTCATAGGTTTAAACAAAGCTTTACCCCCATTTTCGTAGTCGATGATTAATTTTAATTGTGTTCCTCCCTCCTTCTGCTCTAGTGAACGTTTGAAAAAAAGTATGTTAAAAAAATAATTCGGGATAAATCATCAAAAATAAACAATTAAAAGTAATAATAGCGAAGTTGCGGCCGAAGTTTTCATCTGTCAAACGTGAACGTCGAACGTCGAGCGCCGCTTTGTAAGCGGCGCTCGACGTTCGACGTTCACGTTTGACAGATGAAAACTTCGGCAGCAACTTCTGTAATATAAAAAATACTCACCAACGTGTACGATTTGCATGTCGATCATGTCACGAATTAACTTATCGATAAGAGCATCGTCTCTATACAATTCGTTTTGCGTGATGTCTAAATGAAAACGTTCCCAATTAGTTAAGTTCTGTCTGCAATTAAAAAAAACCAAATTAATTAAACATTTTTCTAAATAAAACTCTTATTTTTAAGTTTATAGAAATCTTTACAAAAAAAAGTTTGCCTTTCGAAACGAATATCGAATGACTGGACAGAATTTTTATCGTAAAATATCACGAAACACGATTTCAGTTAATCTTTCATTATTCAAATTCCCTCGGGAATTCGATAAACGGTTGCCATTATTTAAATTCAATTGAAAAACATGTTAAAATTTATTAGAAATTTAATTTCATTCTAATTCCATGTTTTTGTTTTGAATTTTAAACTTTCCGTTTTCTAAAAAGGAAGTTTGATTTTACAGCAATTAAGATGCTTTAGATAGGAGCTTTTGTTGATAAAGAAGGGTGAATTTTTATAGGATAAATTGATGAATTTTAATTGACTAATTCGTCTTCAATATGTATATATTTTATCTAAAGTTTTCTCGTAAAATTCTCTCCTAGAACACTTAAAAATTCTCTCTGAAACTTAACATCCCTAAAAGAAATTCCATAAATTCACCCTCTTTTTTTGAGAAATTTCCAAAAAAAAGGCTGGAATCAATCGGAAATTCATTTAATTTATGTAATTTGTAGAAGTAACCACTATGATCACCGTTACGTGACGAAAGAGTAGCGAGCCAAAACGAAATCCCCCGCCTTCCCCCACTCCATTAATACGGTATCATTTGGCGTGACGGTCAAGAATCGTACTTTTTTTTACTTATATTTAATAATAGGACTGTTACGTAACGCTCAGGCGAAGTAAAGACATTCTGTAAGTAACGATCGGTAATTAAGACTCGGGAGCCAAAACCTAAACCTTGATATCGAGAACCTAATTAGAAACCAAGCGTAATTTTCGTGACCATTTCTATACTTTGACCTTGTTACTTATCGGTGTCGCTAATTTCCGTTCTATTTCCTTCCCTCGTTACTGACCGATTTTTCGATACCGAAGCTTGGCAAAGTATTAATGTGCCCGAGCTTCAATTTGCAACGTATATTTAATACTTACCGTGTGGCAATTTTGTAATTTTATGCGGTTTACGTGTGTAAATTGATGCGAAATCTTAAATCATCTTCATTTTACCACACTTCTAATCCATTGCTTCTACGTTTTGAAGGGATCTTCGGCTTTGCAATACGGAATGGAAGCGAGATATAATAAATTATACTAATTTTACTTATTAAAATAGCAGAATTTACAAAGCATTTATGGTTTTTATAGCGTTGTATCCACAAATCTTGTCGTTTATGATGATAATTTGGCTATTGTACACGTCTTTAGGCCCGTGGTTAAGAGTAATCATCGCGGTCGAAAAGGGAATCGAGTGCTTTACAGAAATGAATCACACAATCCATTTATACAGCAAATCGTTTTATATGTGTTAGTACAACCCAACCCAACCTATAATTCTACAAGATATGATTATCCGGACGGCATTTTTTTCGGGGGAGGGCAAAAAAACATTCTCTCACCCATCTAATTCATCGTAAGAAGTCTAGACATACTCTCACTCTCCCATATTATTATCTCTTACTTGTCTACAGTCTCATCACGTTTACGGGTGTGGAAAATGGTACCTACCTTTTGGCAATTCCTAAAAGTTCTCCGATGGAGGGATTGAAAGGCTTTCTTCTAGATTCAATGCCTCTAACGTGCTGCGGTCTGACGTAACGTAAGAGGTCGACGAAGTCTTCGACCTCCGAACTTTCGGCGGGTGTGATTTTTAGCGCCGCGGCCGGATTGACCTCCGAGTTCACTTCAATTTTCCTATGATCTAAAAAACGTCTCTGATGTAAGGGTACTTCTAGTATGACGTTTTCGGACGTCTGACTGCTCAGGTATAGATCCACCAACAATAGAATGGTGCACACCAGACAGCAGGAACCGAGGAGAACGGCCGAAATTCGTTGCTTTAACTTCATCTCTCAGGGATGTCGCTCGTGTATACATAGAGTCCACGTGTCGTGAGAACTGTTGCTCGCAATGGTACCACTTACGTCTCCATGGCAACTGAGGTATCGACTTTGCACTTCAACACCCTCTACTGGAATCGCATCGCATCTTCCGTCCACTCCGAAGAGAAATCGTCTTACAACCTTCCTTTAAAGAATACAATTCTTGTGACAAAAAATTACCTTTAAATTATCTTATCTTAATAATAATAAATAGATTTTGTAACGGCAATGATTTTACAAATACTTTTTAAAATTTAGTAATACAGAAATTATTTTTATTACGAAAAAAAAGTAAAAATTCAAAATGTAATTTTATTAAAAATATAAAATACAGAGAGATTTTATTTATTAAATAAATTAACAATATAAAATTCCGTTGTTTATAACAAAAATTACATTTTGTCATTTAAAAAAAACAATTTTATAACTTTTTTAAAGTGAAGAGTTTATAAAATTACACTGTGTTTTTTTTAAATACAAAAATGAATGAAGCTAATTGAAAATGCTAATTGAAAACAACATTAATCGTCAATTAAAGACCCGTTTTTTTGAGGGGGAAGGAACGATTGTTTACAAACGTAAAATAAAATAACCAATTTCTTTTCTAGAATTGAGAATAAAATAACCAGAGGCGGGATATAAAACCCTAAACAGGCTTTGGTTTTACTTTCCAAAAACACAATCGCTCCAGGTTAGCATCTCGGAAGTACACACACACACACCATACAAGTCTCCACCTCAAAAGAAAAAAAAAACCAGAAATAATTCATTTCGAATGCTTCGAAACTATAAAAACACTAGAAATTCTCTCTAATTTATTGGAAAAAATATCGATTAGAAAGTAAATTATAATAGGGAGATGCCTCCACTATCCATCAAGATGGCATTTGCATAGGAAATAATATCGACTTACCGTTGCAAACAATACATAAAAAAAAAGGGATCGGAGATGAAGTTTGGTATCCTCTAAACGTGTCCATGAGGGGTTTTATACGAAATCCAGCTGTGATGTCACGAAAAGTCGTAAACCCGATTGGCTAATCCATTCTCGAATAACCTCTCGTGGACAGCTTAATCAGAGCGGTGAATAGGTTAGCAACCCTCCCAAATTTCCCACACAAGTTGCGTGGAGTGATATATGTGGAAGGGAGGAGAAATTTCTATTGTCAGACCACACCGTTGCATTTTTTTTTTTTTTGACCATTTTGAAACCACCTAAGAAGGGTCAAGAGAGCATTCCTTAGTCTCATCAAATAATAGGATTTTCTTATTATTATTTTTGTTTTATTTCGAAGGATTAGTATTTTTTAAAAAAAGCTGCATATAAAGATTAAAACGTTTCCTGTTCGACGTTTATTCAGAAACACATCGGGTGATATTTCTATTTGAAATTTTACACGCGGCTGAATAAATATACGTGTATATAAATGGCGTACAAACAATTTAGAAATTACTCTCGTCTTAGAAAATTAAACAGATGTAAAGTTTAAAAAATCACTTTTAAATTTGAATTTTTTAAATAAATTATTAAATTTAAATATAATATTTAATTATAATTAAATTTATATTTACCTTTTACTCGTTGTTTATATAAACAAATATATTTACAGAAGTATTGATTAATTATATATTTATAATAAATCACGCATAAAATACGTATTTACGTGTTTATAAACAGTTAAAAATAGGGAACAAAATTTAAATAAATTTTGCTGACGTTTTAAACTTAATTACTGATGAATTAAGTGATAAAATGTGTACAAAATTTAAAAATAAATTTACGTTTTGCTTACTTTTAACGCTCTGTTTGAGTGTAGAAATCTCGTCAGATCCGCATCAATTAGCGAGGAGGAGGAGGAGGAGCAGCATCAATTGATGAATATTTTGACAGAAAATAGCTAATTTACGAAATGTTTAGACCATAAAACAAGCGAAATGACTAAGAATGCTATTTCATCTGTTCATAAAAATTAAGTGATAAGAGTCACACAAACCATCTGTAAACGTACAAAGTCCCGTGTTTACATCTCTATAAGAGATTAATTTGTTATCAGTTCACCTTCAACATATAAATTTATCTGTCATTTATTGGAAATTTTGATAATTTCGTTCGAAAATTTCATAGAAATTTCGTAATTTTACATCATTTCCTCCCTCAAGTTTTTATGTATTAACTCCCTCCCAGTTAAAATTAATTAACTTATTTGTTTATTTATTGTTATTATAATTGATGACGTGTTAATAATTACCGATAATGACGTTATGAATTCGTTAAAGGTTTAATTAGTTATAATTTAACTAATTGAAATCGTCATAATATAGAAGTACAAATGAGGAACGAGATAACAAAGTTATAAGTCTCCAGGGATGAAATTTGCCATCGAACTGAATAATAATTATTACTATTAGAGACATTTAATTAGATTATATCTCGATTAATTGCAATAACATTTAATTATAGTTAGATTTTTAATCGATATTTTATATAAGGGATGCCGTCGAGGATTATAGAAAATGGAAGGAATCGTTTTACTCTAGGATTGAAAGGATTTATCTTGTTAGATCTCGTAGAGTGGGCGATAAAAATGTAATAAAAATCCAGTCGATACACAGTGTTATGTTGTAGAGCACATGTCTTCCAATTATCTAAGTAAATTATCCAATTATTAACTCGACGAGGACGTTACTAAATGCTTTCGAAGTACAGACACACGCACGTACGCAACGATTAAAAATCTTTATATAATTTTAATTCTATAGAGTTTATGTGTACGGAATATGGAAATGTAGGCTATACGAGGCACAAAAGTCAGTTAACCGAGATAAATAATATTCAACGAGTCAGAGTTAACCAAATTTTAAGCCAAAGCTTATTCTAAAACACTTAAAAAGATTAATTCGGACTTGTTTAATGGAGTTAAAAATAATAAAGTTTTATAAAACTCAATTATTTAGTTTAAAATAAATTAAAACTCGCATTTCGATCGAGTAAATAATTTCAAAATCACTGATTAAACAGCTTAAGTTTATTCAGAATAATACAATAAATAGGATTTTATATGGCATTAAAAATTTTTCTACTTAAGAGGGATTTATTAAATATTTATAATAGAAAAGAAGAATAAATAAATATTTAATTTTATAAAATTTAATAAACAAATATATTAGCATATTAAACGTGACAAATATATTATTTAATTAAAATAATGGATAACGAAGAATCTCGTACGAAATTTATCAAATTTTACAAATATTTTAAGGTGTAATAACATAAAAGACAATTAAATTATGTCATTTATAATTCGAAAATACTAAAAAAAAAATAGATTTTAAATACAAAACAGCCAGCTTTTCTCGTTTATCTTCTAAGAAATGCGGTGTAAATTTGCATATTTTTAGTGCCTTTCGAAATATTTTCATTTATATTAACTTTAATGATAATTAAGAAAGTCCTACTGCTGTATATTCCTGATATTTACAGTTTAAATGGCGTTAAAATCTCAATTAAACAGGTTACACTTACCATTAGTCGCTTCACTCGCAACGTCTCGTAACCTCATCATCTTAAGCTACGTAACCGACGGAATACAATTAAAATCCTATATTTAACTACATAATACACAATAATGTAAAAATTTAATTACTTCGTCCCCCAAAAAACACAAATAATCACGTATTAATAGAGAGTTTTCGGAGGTCGAACCAGGACGTTGCCACAGAAGAACACTTTACGGACGTTTCATTTAAGAATAAAAATAACTCCGAAAGGGTTCATTGCATCGTCGTATGTGCGCGTGTGTTTGTCTGTCTGTCTGTATTATCGATTTTACTAGTGGAATATTAACTCTTTCTTAAAATGAAAACGGAAAAATTAACGTTTTCGGCGGAACACCCCGGAGAAATCCGTAGGAGAAAACGAGTGCCATCATCGAAATAATTTGTTGAATGTACGATCGGGACACTTAAAAATAAACTAATTAAATAGCAAAATGGCAGAAAACACTACAAATACTTATTTAAATATGTAAACAACATAAAAATTAAAGATATTTGTAGATAAATGCACTTAAACGGTGAATAATTACATAGTTTGAGGACTTTTTTAATGGTCATACAAATGAAGATTTTATATTATTAAACTCCCATTTAGTTAAGAATTATATTTAAAATCAAATTAATTTAATTTTAAATATAAAAATAGCATTAAAATATCTAAAAATTTTGGTTTTTTCTTCACTTTTTACAAATGCTTTTTTTTTAATGAAGAAAAGTTGTATTTTATTATTAAATACATTTCTCCAATTTGAAGAAAATATTATAAAAATTTGCTATTTTTTTTTTCTTTCTTTGATTTAAAATGAAGAAGGTCGGGGAGGGGGATGCAAGATCTTTAGGAAAATCGCTGGAATTTAAAAAGGAGGTTAGCAAATTGCGATAGTTGTTGATCGTCTTACATCAGCTAATCAATAGAGAGTGACACGAGAAGAGATGGATGAGCGATAAAAACAATGGTTAAGCGTGTCCAATCTTCTATTAACAATGGCACTCGGACAGTTATTCATTTTGTTTTTCTAACATTTATTACCATTAAATTGGTTTTTGAAAAGTAATTTTAAATTTTCTTTTTTTAAAAAAATCTCCCATTTTAATCATCCTTATTAAATCTATTTAAAGACGTTCTTTTATTGTTTTTTTATAGTAAGAAGCGGTTACCATCACCGTAACGTCGGTATTTACTCTATGTTATACTTATATTATAGTGAATGATAAATGCCTTATCAGGATTACGTTTAATTTACCATTAGGGTAATTACATTTATCATTATTACACTGTTTCTAAGTTACCTTATGTTAAATTTATTATGGTAATCCCTATTTAACTTTAAATTTCTATTCTTAAAATTCACCGTGCTCTGTGTATATATATATATATATATTAGGCATTAAATTTACCATAAGAATACACTTCTGTACTATAAAATCTACCATAAATAACGTTTACTTCCCACGCATACTTTAAAAAAACTGCATTAAATTGAACACAACTTTAATTACAATTAACGCCCCTTAAATTATACCGGACTTAGAATAGACGGCGGGTATATAGACGGAAATTACCATAAGATAATGTAGTAATTATAGTTTGGCTTATATTATTGATTAAAACGTTAAGAATAAATTAATTTACATGAACGTCTTAGGCCATGGAGAAATTTGTTCTAATTTTGGATGTTTCGTGATCGAAGACGTAACACCGCAGCTGCAAATTCAAATTTTCCTACCATAAAATTTCCATTTAAGACACGACACATCCTTAATTCCCACTCAATAAAATACAAAACTCTTCTCGTGTGTTTAATACAAGCCTCTATTAATTTAAAAAAAAGGGTATAAAAAACAATTTTCGCTCCCCTCTAAAAATGATTTTAAAAGGTATTTTTTAGGGTTTTTTACGGTAAATATATCTTATTTTTAGGGAAAAATTAAAAAAAAAAAAAGGAGGGTATGGACTGACGTAAAACGATTTTTCCCTTTCATGTTTAGTAAATGAGTAGAAATGGGGTGAGGATAAAGAAGGAAAATTGAACGCGAATGGAATGGATTATCGATCACGTGACCGCGTGGAATGACTCTTGGGAAAATTATAAAAGAAACAATCGCATCGATTGGACGGAAATGCTCCAGGTACAGAAAGTACAACCATACCTTTTCGATCTTCCAATAAACTTTTGAAAAGATGACAACCAATAAACGATACGTTATTACTCATAAAATATATATATATTTTTTTAATGTTAAAATTAACCAAAAATATATTATATTTGTTATTATTTAAAGGTTATTTTTAGATATTTTTATCGTGTCGAATTAAAAATTTACCATTGATAAATATGTAAAATTCTAATAAATACAAGAAATATAATGCCTAGTCGAAATGGATATTTTAATATTTGATGAATTTACTATTTTTAAAGTTTTTTTCATGCATAAAAATAGTTTTTTTTTACTCTTTTTAGACATTCTAAACGGTTCTTTATATAAATTTTAATTACTTTAATAATTCCAAGTTAATAATAAAATTCGTTAAAACGTTACCATTGCAGAAGAAAAAATAATAATTTAAAAATTCGTTATTAAATAATCCAAATGTTAATAAATAATTAAATATACGGATATTTTTTCTAAAGAATCGTTTAAAATTTATCATCTCTTAAGCGTAATTACTTAAGCATCTTCGCATCACATCATCCTCGGTGATAACTCATCTTCCTCATCTTTTCTTCCGGAATGAATTTCCTGATATTTAAATTATTATAATGTAATTTTAACGCGATTTTCCTTATCAATTCATTGATTTTTACGTAAATAAGTGCTTTAAAAATTGTAAAAAAAGAAAGGAATTTCTTTTTATTGCTCTTCTTGGAAAAGTTTAAGAACTGGTGCTCCAAGAAGAAGAATGTTTGAATTTATATCTATGATTTTTCCTCCTTTTTTTGAAAAATAACCGATAAAGTCTGGAAGAAGAGAATTATTGGAAAGAAGAACAAAAGAAATGAATTATTTTTCTTGACTTGGACTAGAGTCATCATTTTAAGACCAAATATCGATATCTTGTAAGGTAAAAGACATCGTTTCGATGCAGAGTTCGTTGATATCAATGGAAATAAAAGAGAAAACTGTATATAATTTAACATTTTTTTACGTTATCTAATTTACGAACCACTTTAAAATACGTAATAAACACGCGTACGACCCACACAATGTAATTTTTAAACACAGAAAAGTGGGAAGAAATTAAAAAGAAAAAAAAAAATCTAAATTAAAATTTTATATATTTTTCGAATTTATTTTTTTAAAAATTTAGTTTAAATTTAATTTTTTTTTCTTTTTTAAAAGATATCAACCCGTACGATACGAAGGAAACGTGCTAGTCGGACACAATGTATGGACGGTTCTACAGGTGGAAANTTTTGTGTTGATTTATCAAATATAATTATTAGAATGTGTATAAATTGGTAGCGATACTGACGACTTTTCCTAGAGCAAAAAGGCATCTCGTAACCTTAGGCAAATGCCTCATAAAAAGAAGATCGTCCGGTTCGAAGAGCGTGTCTTTTGATACTCCATAATCGCTGCAAGCTTTCAAGAATTTCTCAATATTCTTCTTTTTGTGCTTGATGTTATCTCCCGCTGTTATTTCGCCGGGGATGCAGTTCGGTTTGATGGCATTCATTAACCTATTCGTAAATATATTCAAATATTCCTAATTAAAACTTAAATTTTTTTATTTTTTTAAGGCTATTTTAAGTGTTACTTTTAACCAATTTCTTACCATTAAACTTTTATTATTATTATTATTATTATTTTTAACTTGTTTTTCGCTATTTTAAGCCTCTTTAAAACGTGTTTTTAGCTATTTTAAGAACCATTAGATTTATTTTTTACTATTAAAATAATGTTTTTTCTTGTTATTCGAAACTTTTTTTTCTATTTTAAACGACAATTGGCACAAAATACCAACTGTCAAAAGTAGGATTCGTATTGTTTAGTCGACGGGGAATAAAGAATTCTATACTTTGCCAAGTTGATTATTTGGCTGTGTTTCGCTTATAATAATCACAATGGAAAAATTTATACTCTATTCTACGGAATAAATTCAATTTTAACAGGTTGGAAAAGTTATAAAACAGAATTTATTATTATTTTTTTAAAATGATTACCTGCAAAGAACGGTTCCATCTCTAAGAAACTGATCGTATTCTTTATTCGCTGCTTCCTCTAATAAATTCCATATCCAGACTAATATTTGACCTTCTTTAACTCCGTCCCTCTAATAAAAAGTAATAATTAAATTAATAATTTCTTTATTTTTTTAAAAAAATAAATGTTATTACGCAGGAAGATGCGGGAAGATGCGGGAGGATGCAGGAGGATGCGAGAAGTTACAGGAAGACGAAGATAAAAAAGTTGAAAGTTTACGTTAATTTTTATGCAGATTTAATTACATATTTTAAAAAGTTTATATTAAAAATTCAATTATTATTTAAAATAATTAAGAAATGATGGAAGATAAAAGATCGTGTCGCATCCGGAGGAATCGATCTTACCTGATGAGGTTGTAACTCGGTTTCTTGCGGCTCTTCTTTCTTAGGCATTGTGTCTACTAAATGCGATTCTACTTGTAAACAACCGCACTTAGCTGACTTTGCAGTAAGAGGAGTCGAAATGTCACGTGATGGACATCTGCTGATAATTCTCTAATTTTGGTCTTTGTAAAAATAGAAGCAGTAAACATAAAACTTAAAAGTTCTTAAATGGAATCGAAAACGTTTGTGTAAAGTAATAAAAAAACTTGTAATATTTACTAAAATACTTTTTATTTTAATTATATTAAAATAAATAATGAATAAATATTTTTAAAAAATAAGTAAGGTTGTTGAACCGAATACAAGATTCTTAAGTTTAGTCACTTTGCCAAACTGTTGTGCAATTAAGCTTTTATTTGTTTATGTAATTAGTTTGCAGTTTAATTTGACTAATTTAAATATATATATTTTTTTATTTTGATAAGAATTTTGATACTTTAATTAGGAACGTTTATCTCGAAATGCCCCTTTAAAGGTTGCAGCTCCGTATAGCAATAATGTAATGCAGAAGAGGTCAACAAACTTCTATTTCTAACCTGGTAGTAGTCAATCAATGTTGAACTAGTAGAAGTGTTTATCGATAACGTTACATCTGATAATTTATCTCTTACCAGTCTTTTATTTATTTATTTTTTATAATATTTTAAGAAAAAAAATCCTCATTCTTCCTGTGTTTTATTACAATTTTAACCAAGGATTAAAAAATTAAACACTTTTTACTTTATATTTATGCACAATTTATTTAAAAATACATTTTTTTAACGCTTAAATATAATTTTTTTATTTATTAACATCAATTTTATATTAATTCTCTCTATTATGTAAATAGTAACAGATTAAAATGGATGAATAAATTAATTATAATAAATTTGGAGACGAATTTATTACATTTTACTCCACTCTTAAGCATTAATTACTACGTTTTTTAGTAATTATAACAACATAAATTTGATTTTTCTCTTCACTCTACGGCGACTAGAGAAGAAAATTCGGTGACATTTATAAATTTCTAGGCATAAAAACTATTGAAATTTAAAAGGGACGATAATAAACGAGTAAATAATTTATAATTCATCATCAATTTCTTGCCAATCGAGAAAATTCGGGCTATCGTAATTGTTCTTGTTGAATTTCTTAGCGGTGGCAGTCTTAATCTCCGAGCCCTTGTTACAAATCTTATGTAAAACCTTCTTACTAGTCACGTCCAATTGACCATCGAAATAAAAGTTATTCATATAATGTAACAATTTATCGACTTTACCAGGGAATTCGTGAATTTTGTCTCCCAAAGTATTGACCTGATTAGCATCGTCGGGTGTATCGTCGTCGGGATCGTTATCGCCAAAGCCAAACATACCTTTAAACTTCTTAAACATAAAGGATACGATTTCGTATTCGTTATTTTGTTTTTGGATGTCTTCTTTCACGCTTTGGAATGCGCTTATGATGAGGGTGACGAATATATTAAGGAGGATGACACTGGTCACCAGAGCGTAGACAAAGAACATAATCGGTCCCAGTAGTGGCGATGCTAAGCATATTTCTTCGAAATCGAACACTCCTCTCATTATAGAAAATGCCGTTTCGGTGGACGTTATAAAATCTTTAAATCCCTGCAACGTAACACCGAAAACAATGTAAAACATCTGAACGAAAGCGAAGTAAATCACACCGAAAACTATAAAAAATGATTTAAGGTCCTTAGAACATTGCTGTAGAGTGCTGTAAAGCACACCCATACGTTTATTGAAACGTAAAAGCTTAATAAATTTTAAGATGGAGATAAAAATAAGGAATGCCATTAAATAACCGAATACTTCATCAACCGAAGCTACAAATTGAAGTTTAACGTAACCGTTACCTTCGGTTTTTTCGAAAACTTTCAAAATCCTTTTAGTTACGATCATTCTATAAATGTATATTATTATAGAAGCGTATGAAAGAGATACGACAGCAACCTCCATCAAGTTCCAATAACTTTGAAAGTACTCTTTACGATCTTTGCGAATCTTTTTGGCTTCCCTGACGGTAAAATAAATGGTATAAATTACGTAGGTCAGTTCACAAATCATGACGAATAGCCCGAAACCCTGATGGTAACGCATCAAACGAATTGCATCTATTCTATGGAACGGTACAACCCCTCCGCCCGGTTGAAATTCTGCTACTAATTCGATCACCCCGAATAAATTTACTTGGGCATTGTATACAGAAAATTCTGCAAAGACTGCTCTTGTCCCCGCATCGGTCCAATCTTCTTTTTCTAGACGATATAATTCCTCTTTAAGCTGCTCTCTGCTACCGCGAAGAGGTACAACGTATCCTCCTCCTCCGTACACGTCTAATTTACCAAAAAATGGCAATCCGTCTAATTCGGATGAGGATCTGTAATGATATTCATCGACGACACCGTCGTCCTCTGATAATTTCTTCCATCCTTTCTGATAACTACGTTTATCTTCGTCCACCATCCTAGAGTATCCGCGACACGTTTTCGATACGTTCTTCATAATTTCTTCCACTTATGATGGAAGATAAAAGATCGTGTCGCATCCGGAGGAATCGATCTTACCTGATGAGGTTGTAACTCGGTTTCTTGCGGCTCTTCTTTCTTAGGCATTGTGTCTACTAAATGCGATTCTACTTGTAAACAACCGCACTTAGCTGACTTTGCAGTAAGAGGAGTCGAAATGTCACGTGATGGACATCTGCTGATAATTCTCTAATTTTGGTCTTTGTAAAAATAGAAGCAGTAAACATAAAACTTAAAAGTTCTTAAATGGAATCGAAAACGTTTGTGTAAAGTAATAAAAAAACTTGTAATATTTACTAAAATACTTTTTATTTTAATTATATTAAAATAAATAATGAATAAATATTTTTAAAAAATAAGTAAGGTTGTTGAACCGAATACAAGATTCTTAAGTTTAGTCACTTTGCCAAACTGTTGTGCAATTAAGCTTTTATTTGTTTATGTAATTAGTTTGCAGTTTAATTTGACTAATTTAAATATATATATTTTTTTATTTTGATAAGAATTTTGATACTTTAATTAGGAACGTTTATCTCGAAATGCCCCTTTAAAGGTTGCAGCTCCGTATAGCAATAATGTAATGCAGAAGAGGTCAACAAACTTCTATTTCTAACCTGGTAGTAGTCAATCAATGTTGAACTAGTAGAAGTGTTTATCGATAACGTTACATCTGATAATTTATCTCTTACCAGTCTTTTATTTATTTATTTTTTATAATATTTTAAGAAAAAAAATCCTCATTCTTNCGTGTTTCATTTCAAATATTTTTAATTTAAATTTGCATCTTATAGTAAATATTTAAATTTTAAAAAAATTTTTAAGTATTTGAAAAATTCTAACATTCTAACAATTCTAAATTCAAATGTTAATAAATAATTAAATATACGGATATTTTTTCTAAAGAATCGTTTAAAATTTATCATCTCTTAAGCGTAATTACTTAAGCATCTTCGCATCACATCATCCTCGGTGATAACTCATCTTCCTCATCTTTTCTTCCGGAATGAATTTCCTGATATTTAAATTATTATAATGTAATTTTAACGCGATTTTCCTTATCAATTCATTGATTTTTACGTAAATAAGTGCTTTAAAAATTGTAAAAAAAAAGAAAGGAATTTCTTTTTATTGCTCTTCTTGGAAAAGTTTAAGAACTGGTGCTCCAAGAAGAAGAATGTTTGAATTTATATCTATGATTTTTCCTCCTTTTTTTTGAAAAATAACCGATAAAGTCTGGAAGAAGAGAATTATTGGAAAGAAGAACAAAAGAAATGAATTATTTTTCTTGACTTGGACTAGAGTCATCATTTTAAGACCAAATATCGATATCTTGTAAGGTAAAAGACATCGTTTCGATGCAGAGTTCGTTGATATCAATGGAAATAAAAGAGAAAACTGTATATAATTTAACATTTTTTTACGTTATCTAATTTACGAACCACTTTAAAATACGTAATAAACACGCGTACGACCCACACAATGTAATTTTTAAACACAGAAAAGTGGGAAGAAATTAAAAAGAAAAAAAAAAATCTAAATTAAAATTTTATATATTTTTCGAATTTATTTTTTTAAAAATTTAGTTTAAATTTAATTTTTTTTTCTTTTTTAAAAGATATCAACCCGTACGATACGAAGGAAACGTGCTAGTCGGACACAATGTATGGACGGTTCTACAGGTGGAAACTGCGACAAACAAAGAATCGATAAAGACAGATGTTGGAAGAGAAATGTGTCTCACCTGTTTTATAATAACCCAACGGATCCAACACTAAGAAGTGGGGATTCGTTTAGATCGATCCTCTTACCATCTCGTCCTGTTCATCTCTACTCTGTAATTTCGCCATACTGCATCTCTCCACGCGCCACCTAGTGGATATTTTTCGCGTTATCCTACACATAAATATTTATTCCACTTTTATCTGTTACGTACAGTAATGCGCGTCGACATCGAAACACGCGTAAAAGGCCTGCCACGTTTACATTGGCTCCGCTGCCACTTATATAAAAGTAATAAATCTAATTACTCCGTTTTTAATTGTAAATTTAAGGGAATTATTACATAAATTACGTGCCAATCGGGTGATTTCTCTTGTAAATTTATCGCGTTAATTAGGTGTTGCCGTTAAGGCGAATGGTTTTTTATTTAAAAAAAACTGGAGAAAGTAAATAAATTTTTTTCTAATTTCTTAGACAGAAATCTTTGGCGGAAGTAGAAACGAACGAACGATTAGTCACTCCAATTCTACCCCCCCCTTTTCGTTTGCCAGGGTAAGAAATCGATAATAGAACATCTGCGATTTTCTAATTCTGTTTATATACAGTAATACTTTTTCTCACTCCGACATTGATTTAAAACACTAGAAAAGAAAGGAGCCCAAAAGAAATTTGCATAAATAATTCTTGTGGGCTCCTTTCTGCGTTACGTCTTCTCCTTTTTTTTTTTTTTTTTTTTTGTTTAGAGACTTCAAACGAAATAATATTATTGGTAATAAAGGAGACGAGTTCGACTCTACCTGTACCATCCGAAAAGGGAAGCAAACAATAGGTTTCGAGTGTCTAAATATACCCGAATGCAATTATTTAAATAAAGAAATAAAGCAAAATGGCAGATCATTATCGCTTTAGACACGTATCGAGATACTTCAAACAATATTCTTTGTCTTTTTTGAATACTTCTTCCCTCCTTTTTGTCGTATTATAAAGTTATCTATGTGTGAAATTTCGTGTTTCATTTCAAATATTTTTAATTTAAATTTTGAAATTTCTTTCGAAGAGTAAAAAAAAAAGAAAAAAACGTATCGATTTGTGTTTTTTTTTATTCATACATTTTTGTGTTTTTACGTATTAAAACTAGTTTAAAAATCTTTAAAAAAACTCTAAAACGTCTAAAATTTATTATACTTTACGGAGAAGTGGTAGAACTTATAAACAATGGAACACTTAATTAATTAAAGCCTTAAAAAGAGCTGAAAAATTATCTTAAATTAAATATAATAAATTTAAATATCGAAATTCGAATTAATTCTATATTTAAATATATGAATTAAAAAGTATAAACAGGTGGTTTTTAGCAAATATTTTTTGGAATCTTTCTTCACTTTTCCTTCTCTTTAACCCGTAACTAGAGCCGTGGTCATTAAATATCTGCAGGTGGTTGAGTCGAGTGCTTTACTTGATATTTGTGATAGTGGCCTATCCAAAAAAATAACAAAATTTATAGCATTTTATCTTAAAAAAAACACCCCAAAAACTCACCTATTTTAAACAAAATAGACCTTAAATTTTTTTTATAATATTTTAAGATTATTTTAAGAATTTAACTTCATTTTATTTTATTTACTTTCGTCGTGGAAGGAAGAATCTCTAGAGACGTGTGATTTATTGCCACGTTGAATCGAATCAGTAAATGTTTACGCACGAGTAATTAATGTTCTTAAATATCTTGTTAAATTATTTATTACTTTAATTTGTCCAATTGTTTATTATAATTTAAAATATTTTTCTTTATTTTAAGCTTCGTTTCTTTCTTTCTTTTTTATATAAATTACCTTTCTTAATTAACTTAATTAAGTGTATAAAAATTCGCGGTTGTGTTGTGTTTTTTTTATATTTAATTACATTTAAAAAAAAAAGTTTAAAGAGTAATTATCATATTAATTATCTTTATTTTTAAATACAATTAAGTAAAATATTATTTATAATTTTAAAAATGAATCTTTAAATCTCTTAAATAATTTATTAATACGTTTCGTTAAGGGTTTAGGCGTGGTTCAATTATTTCATGCTCTGTAATTTTTACTAAAAAAAAAGAAAAAAATAATAAAATGTATTTGAAGGAAATTACTATAAAAATACCGAGAATAAATTCGTCATTTTGAAAATTATATATTTAATTATTCATCCTCTTATTCGATTACTTTTGTGGGTTTAAGTATATCTGGCTAAACAAAGCTATTTAATAAAATATTAACTGATTTTTATGTATAAAATGTGATATATATATATTAATGATTTCGTAATAGTATTTTATTTTAAAAAATTTTATTAAAAAAATGGGGGAATAATTTAAAATTTTTTAATATTTTAAATACCAGATGGCAGTAGATGTTATTTTCCACCCCTAAAAACTCGACACTCCAGTCTATGTTTTCTTAATATATAGGGCCACAAATATCAGTTTCTGTCATTTTTAAATAATCTTTTTTAAATTATTATTTTAAAAAAATGAAGATGATGGCTGATAAGTAAAGGAGTTTTTTTTTTCTTTAATTCTCTGTTTTTATTGGTTTAAAATGACTAAAAACAGATTAAATAATATATTTTGAAGCCATAAACAGCGAGCGGAATAATATAAATCTCCTTACGTAGATTGAGATGATGATGACGAAGATGAGGATGCTGTTCTATCTCTCTGCATAAATTACTCAATTGAAAGTAAATATAGAATAAATGAAATTTAAAATCGAACGTGTCTTTATTTTTCTCTTTAAATATTATATTTTGACGAATATTTAAATATAATTTCGTAACGAATGAAAGAAAATATCTATTGATTTTGATCGACGCTCGGGAGTCGATGTAAAATATTCTTGACGTCGACGTGGGCCACGTTGATGTCGTCACCGAAAGGCATACCCGATCTTCTACGCCCGGTTTTCTTAACGGCTTCGAAAGGTTCGTCGCCTAATTTATGACCGTCGAAATTCGGATCCTCTTCCGCCTAGAAATTTTATTTATTATTTTTGTGTTGATTTATCAAATATAATTATTAGAATGTGTATAAATTGGTAGCGATACTGACGACTTTTCCTAGAGCAAAAAGGCATCTCGTAACCTTAGGCAAATGCCTCATAAAAAGAAGATCGTCCGGTTCGAAGAGCGTGTCTTTTGATACTCCATAATCGCTGCAAGCTTTCAAGAATTTCTCAATATTCTTCTTTTTGTGCTTGATGTTATCTCCCGCTGTTATTTCGCCGGGGATGCAGTTCGGTTTGATGGCATTCATTAACCTATTCGTAAATATATTCAAATATTCCTAATTAAAACTTAAATTTTTTTATTTTTTTAAGGCTATTTTAAGTGTTACTTTTAACCAATTTCTTACCATTAAACTTTTATTATTATTATTATTATTATTTTTAACTTGTTTTTCGCTATTTTAAGCCTCTTTAAAACGTGTTTTTAGCTATTTTAAGAACCATTAGATTTATTTTTTACTATTAAAATAATGTTTTTTCTTGTTATTCGAAACTTTTTTTTCTATTTTAAACGACAATTGGCACAAAATACCAACTGTCAAAAGTAGGATTCGTATTGTTTAGTCGACGGGGAATAAAGAATTCTATACTTTGCCAAGTTGATTATTTGGCTGTGTTTCGCTTATAATAATCACAATGGAAAAATTTATACTCTATTCTACGGAATAAATTCAATTTTAACAGGTTGGAAAAGTTATAAAACAGAATTTATTATTATTTTTTTAAAATGATTACCTGCAAAGAACGGTTCCATCTCTAAGAAACTGATCGTATTCTTTATTCGCTGCTTCCTCTAATAAATTCCATATCCAGACTAATATTTGACCTTCTTTAACTCCGTCCCTCTAATAAAAAGTAATAATTAAATTAATAATTTCTTTATTTTTTTAAAAAAATAAATGTTATTACGCAGGAAGATGCGGGAAGATGCGGGAGGATGCAGGAGGATGCGAGAAGTTACAGGAAGACGAAGATAAAAAAGTTGAAAGTTTACGTTAATTTTTATGCAGATTTAATTATATATTTTAAAAAGTTTATATTAAAAATTCAATTATTATTTAAAATAATTAAGAAATGATGGAAGATAAAAGATCGTGTCGCATCCGGAGGAATCGATCTTACCTGATGAGGTTGTAACTCGGTTTCTTGCGGCTCTTCTTTCTTAGGCATTGTGTCTACTAAATGCGATTCTACTTGTAAACAACCGCACTTAGCTGACTTTGCAGTAAGAGGAGTCGAAATGTCACGTGATGGACATCTGCTGATAATTCTCTAATTTTGGTCTTTGTAAAAATAGAAGCAGTAAACATAAAACTTAAAAGTTCTTAAATGGAATCGAAAACGTTTGTGTAAAGTAATAAAAAAACTTGTAATATTTACTAAAATACTTTTTATTTTAATTATATTAAAATAAATAATGAATAAATATTTTTAAAAAATAAGTAAGGTTGTTGAACCGAATACAAGATTCTTAAGTTTAGTCACTTTGCCAAACTGTTGTGCAATTAAGCTTTTATTTGTTTATGTAATTAGTTTACAGTTTAATATGACTAATTTAAATATATATATATTTTTATTTTGATAAGAATTTTGATACCTTAATTAGGAACGTTTATCTCGAAATGCCCCTTTAAAGGTTGCAGCTCCGTATAGCAATAATGTAATGCAGAAGAGGTCAACAAACTTCTATTTCTAACCTGGTAGTAGTCAATCAATGTTGAACTAGTAGAAGTGTTTATCGATAACGTTACATCTGATAATTTATCTCTTACCAGTCTTTTATTTATTTATTTTTTATAATATTTTAAGAAAAAAAATCCTCATTCTTCCTGTGTTTTATTACAATTTTAACCAAGGATTAAAAAATTAAACACTTTTTACTTTATATTTATGCACAATTTATTTAAAAATACATTTTTTTAACGCTTAAATATAATTTTTTTATTTATTAACATCAATTTTATATTAATTCTCTCTATTATGTAAATAGTAACAGATTAAAATGGATGAATAAATTAATTATAATAAATTTGGAGACGAATTTATTACATTTTACTCCACTCTTAAGCATTAATTACTACGTTTTTTAGTAATTATAACAACATAAATTTGATTTTTCTCTTCACTCTACGGCGACTAGAGAAGAAAATTCGGTGACATTTATAAATTTCTAGGCATAAAAACTATTGAAATTTAAAAGGGACGATAATAAACGAGTAAATAATTTATAATTCATCATCAATTTCTTGCCAATCGAGAAAATTCGGGCTATCGTAATTGTTCTTGTTGAATTTCTTAGCGGTGGCAGTCTTAATCTCCGAGCCCTTGTTACAAATCTTATGTAAAACCTTCTTACTAGTCACGTCCAATTGACCATCGAAATAAAAGTTATTCATATAATGTAACAATTTATCGACTTTACCAGGGAATTCGTGAATTTTGTCTCCCAAAGTATTGACCTGATTAGCATCGTCGGGTGTATCGTCGTCGGGATCGTTATCGCCGAAGCCAAACATACCTTTAAACTTCTTAAACATAAAGGATACGATTTCGTATTCGTTATTTTGTTTTTGGATGTCTTCTTTCACGCTTTGGAATGCGCTTATGATGAGGGTGACGAATATATTAAGGAGGATGACACTGGTCACCAGAGCGTAGACAAAGAACATAATCGGTCCCAGTAGTGGCGATGCTAAGCATATTTCTTCGAAATCGAACACTCCTCTCATTATAGAAAATGCCGTTTCGGTGGACGTTATAAAATCTTTAAATCCCTGCAACGTAACACCGAAAACAATGTAAAACATCTGAACGAAAGCGAAGTAAATCACACCGAAAACTATAAAAAATGATTTAAGGTCCTTAGAACATTGCTGTAGAGTGCTGTAAAGCACACCCATACGTTTATTGAAACGTAAAAGCTTAATAAATTTTAAGATGGAGATAAAAATAAGGAATGCCATTAAATAACCGAATACTTCATCAACCGAAGCTACAAATTGAAGTTTAACGTAACCGTTACCTTCGGTTTTTTCGAAAACTTTCAAAATCCTTTTAGTTACGATCATTCTATAAATGTATATTATTATAGAAGCGTATGAAAGAGATACGACAGCAACCTCCATCAAGTTCCAATAACTTTGAAAGTACTCTTTACGATCTTTGCGAATCTTTTTGGCTTCCCTGACGGTAAAATAAATGGTATAAATTACGTAGGTCAGTTCACAAATCATGACGAATAGCCCGAAACCCTGATGGTAACGCATCAAACGAATTGCATCTATTCTATGGAACGGTACAACCCCTCCGCCCGGTTGAAATTCTGCTACTAATTCGATCACCCCGAATAAATTTACTTGGGCATTGTATACAGAAAATTCTGCAAAGACTGCTCTTGTCCCCGCATCGGTCCAATCTTCTTTTTCTAGACGATATAATTCCTCTTTAAGCTGCTCTCTGCTACCGCGAAGAGGTACAACGTATCCTCCTCCTCCGTACACGTCTAATTTACCAAAAAATGGCAATCCGTCTAATTCGGATGAGGATCTGTAATGATATTCATCGACGACACCGTCGTCCTCTGATAATTTCTTCCATCCTTTCTGATAACTACGTTTATCTTCGTCCACCATCCTAGAGTATCCGCGACACGTTTTCGATACGTTCTTCATAATTTCTTCCACTTTACAAGAATCTAAAATTTATATTTAAGAAAATACCCGCTATTTATAGACATTTTTTAATCATTTAAACTGAATATTATTAAATTTACTTACTTGGTTTTATACGAACTTGCCTTAAAACTCCGTAACCCATCAATCTGTTCACTCTATCGTCAATGAATCCTCTTAGACCGAACGGTTGATCGCCGTTATACCACTTCCCAACCAGTAGTTCGGGAATTAAACCTTCCCTAGCCCACTTCCAAAAAGATGCGGTGCTCCCGATCTGGAATTTCATTCAATCAATTTAATTTTTTTATTATAAATTGTCAAAAAAAAGAAGAAGATAATTACAGCCGTAAAATCAATATTTGGATCTCCCTTTTTGATAAAGGCATTTTCCAGGTTTGTTTTCAAGAAAAATGCATTGGGATCTCGATTTCCGTAACTAAGTATTATAAGAATCCACAGGAAAAATACGTAAGAAAAGATTTCTTTAATAATTGCGGCCATTTTTAATTCCTTTTCTCTTTCTCTTCGCGCTTTCTCGATTCTGGCAGAATTTGGTGGTTGGTACGATATTTTCTTCTTAATTGGTATAATGGCATCTATAAAATTAAAATATATACAAGTTTATTAGTAGAATAATCTATTAATGAATAAAGAATATTCAAAATATACATCTAAACAGCTTAGATTAAGCGTGATGTATGTAAAAGTCACGGGTTCGTATCCTAATTGAAACTTTTATCCCGTGTTTTGGCTTCTTTCTCTGGCTTCTGCACACGATTCTCCGCTTCTATGTATTGAATTTATGCTATTAATGTATAAAATTCCTTTAAAAAAATCCCACGTTACCTGTATGAAGCCATTCTTCGTCGTCAGCTAAATTCGGAGCTTCCTCATCCTGTTCCGAATCATCTTCGTCAGAATCCACAGACTTAAATAAGCTGGAGAGGATCATAGCAACTAAAAATACCTAAAAATATATAAATAAATTTTATATAATTATATTTAATTTAACATTTGAAAGAGTTAATTTAAGTAAAATTACCTTAATAGGTTGAGTGATAAGTATGGAAGTGAAGAAAGATATTAAGAGGGAAGTCACCCATTTTTTAGTTTTTTCGTCACCGAATTGCACCCCGTATGCCCACAGGAAGAACACAGAAACAAAAATCGAAGCCAAACAGATTAACCAAGCAACATATCTGCACCACCAAGGGAACAGAAACTTCTTTTTCTTCTTCTTCTTGTCACTCTTATTACTAAAATCGTGTACTTCTTTGATAGAAGCATCGTCATCTACCAATTTCATGGTGGATTCTCCAGAACCCGGCCTCTTTAATGATATTGCTGGCTTATATTTTTCATCTATAAAAATAATTTTTTTTATATTTTCGTTAAAAATGCTTAAAATTAATATTTTCAATCATATTTACTCTGTTTTTTTAGAGCTTCTGTGATTCTCGAAGGTCGAAGTTTACGCAATCTGGATTTTCTGAATAAAGTAATCATGAGAAATGTAGGAGGAAAGACGATGAGGTTTGCCATAACACCGACTCCTATCTAAAAATTCATTTTATTACATAAAAAGTGTAGAATTTTTGAGTTAGAAAGCGAGAATTAATGGTTTTACTTGTTCGGGACTCATCGAGAATGGTCCTATATTGATGGCAGAACCAGAAGGTTTGCTGGGCACTCTTCCATACCACATGGCATTAACCAACATGGATAGATACAGCATTGCCATGCAAGAAGATACTCTTTGAACTCTCGTAAACCTACTTCTGGGTGGACGAAGAAATATCGAGAACCACAAGTGCCCATCCGATAAATTTTTTTGAGTAGTTACGTTGAAAAGGTGAGAAAATTCTGTAGCTTCCCCTTTCCCAGCTACTGGGACCAATCTATCGATCTTCAAATAAAATATTGAATTTAATAATGAATCTTTTTTTATTATTTAATTTGCGTATTTTCTTACCAAACCATCATCTTTTTCCACCGCTAGCCATTTATTAACTACAAATTCAAATTTAGCACCAGTCTGAACGTCTCTCACTACTATAAAGCTTAAGAACCACGATCTAAATTTGCCTTTTCCTTTATTATCGTGCCAAATTCTAATGTAATTTAACTTTCCTAAGGGTCTAAACGTTTAAAATAATGTATAAAACCGATGAAAAATGCAGAAATTTAGATAACAGAAAGAGAATATTAAGACGAACCTTGCCACACTCATTACGAAAGTATCCATAGCACCTCTGCGAAATATCTTTCTCTTAGAATCACCAAAAGTTCGAACAGAGGTTTCGTCATCTTCCCCAGAAAGGATAAAATGAACCTGTAATTTATAAAGTGGTAAAACAGAATAGAGGGGGGTAGATATTGCTAGTAAATTCCATCAAACTCTACCTGAGAATCCGTAGCAGCAGCATCTTTATCACCCGTGAAAACGGTCATCTCGTACAAATACCTATCTTGAGGATCGTTATCCGGTAAAGGAGTCGCTCCTAACTATAAATTATATAGATTCGGTTAAGCATAATATCGAACTTAACAAGCAATAAAAATTAAAAGTAATATTATAACTTTTTCTGTATCCTTCTTATCTTGACGCCTTGCCCATATAAGTAGAATAATATAAAGTAATAAAGTAACAATGATTGTCATGTATATAGTAACGTTATCAGCAAATCCTGCATTTGCAAAAACGTAAGCAAAATCGACCGTGTTGGGGGTTACAAAAAATCCACCTCCGAATGAAGTTAAGTGATTACATTTGCAGTAAGTCATGGCTTTGTTAGAGTTTTCTACCTGAAAAGATCAATTGTTTACATCATTTCTTGACTTAAAAATTCAGCGAGAAGATCTTTAACTTACAAAGCATCCTTCTCCTGACCAAATTTTAGTATCAGGATTAAAGAAATAACATCCTGAAGTATATATTCTCAACGTGTAATTAGTTGAAAATGTATGTGATACTTCTCCTTTGGTGAAGTTGTGTTCGCTGTCGAAGAGCATCTCTTCAGAAAGACTATCATTTCCTTCAACGACCCCAACGTAAAAGAACCCTGTCTTATTTTGAATAACGTCGTTCGGTAGAAATATATCGTAAGTACCTGAAATTCGATTTATTTTTAAATATATTTCTTAACAAATTTCACTACTTTCACCATCTTACCATTGACGTTTCTCACAGTTTCCAATGGTATCATCAAGTCGTAATAATTTAAAAGTGGTTTTTCTCGGTGTTTAATGAATACCGTAAGTGACGAGTCCGGTTCTGTTGGATGAATTTCGATATTGACTGCAGAATCAGCCTTCTCTACAAAAAACTGATGATATACCATCTGCTCGTACCATTTCATCGTTGGTAACACGTACGTAGGCTCTGGTAGGGGCTAAAGAATGAAAAAAGAGAGGGAAAATATATATAAAATTATACGTTTTATAACTGTAAATATTGTTTCTCGACTTGTTTCTCGTGTTAATCTCCGGGAAAGACCGAGAAATCGGTTCTCGACCTCTCCGAAGGTCGTGACCTCCCAGTTGAGAGAAGCTCTAGAACTTACGCTATCATCTTTTCCAGATTTTCTAGGAATGATTATTCCGAACAATCCTGTAGTATTTTTGATGGACATGAGGTGTAAAGTTTCGTCTAGCATCAGTAATTGCAGGGTTTGAGTATCTTTGGATAATAAATCGACACTATCACCGAACGATTGAAGAATGGCCGGCCAAGAAACAGCCTAAAGTATAAAAATTATTCATTAGTAATAATACTTTTTTGTCTTTATTTTCATACAATTTAAGCTCGGAAATAAGAAGATAAATTGTGTAATACGTGCCATAACACCTAGTGTTTCGTTTCCCGAACATTCGTATTGGCTCAAAATATCACAAACTTCAGGGAATATATAAGTAGCATCTCCGTGTTGAATGGACATATTTGATAGAGTTCCGCCCTTAAACCTATTAAAAATAGTAAAATATTTTTAATATCTTATCTTAAATACATGCAAAATAATTTATGGCATAGTTACATAGAAAGTTCATTAAATATTTACATAGATATTGTCAATCCTAATCCACTAGGAGCGATAAATTCTAATGGTTCTTCGCCAACGACTATATTTCTTAATATCGTCAGAACCAATTGGATTGTTAAATCGACTATCTGCTTTATCTGCCCTTCAGCCTATAAAGGGAATTATTTTAAAGTATTTTCTAAATATTATTAGATATTTTATCGATACTTACGGCCACTCTTTCTTGCTCGATGATTACTTTGGCTAGAGCTTCTTGGAATGGTATTTTACCATCAAATAAACTTTCTAAAAAATTGATTTAACATTTCTTAGATTTATATTATTGATATTTACTGAATTTCTTAAAGATAAAACGTTATTAAGTTACCTTTTTCTTCCTCTCCGTATAATGGTGCTTGTATGTCGTATTCTATATCCAATGCTTTGGTACGATCACTCGGCATCACCACTCCTTCAACTAACTGCTGCGACATTCTCTGATAGAAAAGTCATGCTTTATGTATATTTTAAGATACTTTTTTTTTAAAATTTTAAAGGAAAATATGGAGTACTTACTGCTACAATTCCACCCATAGTCCCGACAGCGTACATACAGAAGTCTAACAGTTGTTGAGGAGCTTCCACTTTCAGATCGGATGCCAATTCGACCGTCTTGTTTAACAATCTTATAATTGCATTCTAGAAAAAGCTTCCTCGGTTATAGACACGTCAAACGTTGAAATTTTCCATAAATTAAACTTACTTTTCCGTCGTTATCCAGGGCGTCACCGTTACCCGCTATGGCCGTCAGTGCACTTCCTATCTGTTCTAACCCACTTAACGTGTCCATATTCATCACAGAGTCTACAGATCGTACCATTTTAAGTCGAGCCTGTTTAAAATTGATAGAAGTTTACATTCGTAATTACCAAGTGTGTTTTTTTGAAGATTTTAAACTTACCTGAGTCTTTTCTTCCAGTTCCTTGTCGGCATCTGGCTCGTCTACATAAGAAATTAACTTAGATATAGGTGTTTTAATTGTCTTTTAAAAGAATTTTTAGAATTCTCACCAGGTATTTCGTTCTCAGAACTATCGGGTTGATCGCTAGGCAATCGGATGTTCATCAAAGACGACACGGCTTGAGAAACTTGATTCATTTTAGCTTGATCGCCCGATGCTTCTACGTATTCTAATTGTTTAGTCGCCATAAATTGCTCGTATTCTTGTTTTGTCGGTGGTGTCAACTATAAAAAGTGTGCGTAATTAATAAAATATCGGAATTATAACTACGATTTCTCGTAACAACACAATGGGTGAACGTACAGCGAGTGTGGTTATGTTAAGTTTAGTGAGGGCCCCTTCTTTATCTTTAATATCGACACCTAGTTGAAAGGCTCCGTAAGGTAACACCAATTCCGCAGCTTCGTCGGGACCGTAGCTTAAATAGAAAACCACTCCAGATTGAAGATCCATGGCTGAAAGATTATTTGGTGGAAATTATATAAATTTGGGGATATATATATACAGTACATAACACGGTAAATTATCAATAAACTTACTCCAGTAGGCGTAATAATCTACTTCCGAGCCTTCTGGATCGATCCAGCCCAAACATATAGCAGTAAATGTATCCAAAAGTGCTTTGCCTTCTTCTGGATATAAGGTACAATTTCCGTTTTCGGGTGGTTTATTGATATGTAGAAACAAATCAGATTCTCCTTTCTGGTTAGCTTCGTTCTCTACGGCTAACTTTGCTATGAAATCTCCAAAAGCCGGGTAATATTCTTTAAAAAATTCTTCGGATAGAGCCATTTTCTGTTCGTTGGCGCCTAAAAATAATCAAAAAATTTTATTCCTTTTTCTACGGTAAAAATGATCTTAAATATTCTACTTACCGACTAAAAATCTAGCCGCATCTTCTAAATACGTTTCGTTTCCTTCGTCCTCCACCCCGTATAATTCCCATTGATAAGTCAATTGTCCTTCGCAGTTTTCTGTGCATAATCCTATTAATCCTACTCGAACGGGATTAATTTTCTGCCCGATTGGATCGTGTGGATAGCATAATTTTTCCGTTTGGCATCTTCAGAAGAAAATTAGGTGTAATTGCATACGAGAAGGTGCGAGTATCATAAAATCTTCATACCTGACGGCAATCGCTGGTGGTACGTGTTCTAAGAGAACTATTTGTATTCCTCCCCAGGATGCATCTCTATCCGGTAACTCAACTTTAACTATAATCTCGTAAGTAATGTTGGTTTTACGAAATACTGTGGTGTCCCATTCCAAGTAACTATCCGTTACGTTAATTCTACCTAAAATGGGATGTTTATAGCATACAACTAATTTATAAAGACGTAATTATCTTAACCTACCCGGGCCTTTTCCGAAGCATCCCCCTTGATCTTCCTCTTCTATTCCCGGTTTTCCATCGTCGGTCGGTGGCACGATATACAACGAATTTCGATCGTATATGGGATTAGATATGTTAAATTCGTCTGCCATACTTCGGTTCAATACCTCGTGTGGTACTCTTCTACAGTACCACGTTATAGTAAAATTCTATAAAAGTTCGTCGTTAGTTTTAACTGTAAATACCTTCGGACAGTTATTAAACCTCCCTACCTTATTGTCAACGTCATCTGGGTCGACGGAATAAGTTCCTGGATCGAGGCGAAGTTTCTGACCCCAACCTCTGGTGACCCTGGTCTGTGCCCCATCCGACATTTGAACTATTACGGGAGAGGGTACAACGTTGACGTACGTGTCTATGGATCGACGAAATGGCATCATAGGATAGTCACTCGGTCCTGAAGATCATAGTTATTTCGTTCATTGACGTTAATTAAACGTTGTCAAAATTTATTTTTAACGTATTATTATACGAAATATCACGTAAACTAATTACTAACAACTATAATATAAGCGTGCATCTTACCTGTCATATTAACCTGAAAAACGAATCTATAATATCCAGATTCTAGGAAGAAGGGCTTGATAAAGAGCATGGACTTTCTACACGAATCCAGCATAGAAATGTCTATTTGTTCTATCTCCATTCCGGTTGTTTCGTTGACTCTCCACACCCTCCACATTCTGAACGCCTCTGTCGTAACGTTGCACCTGACAGTCGTATACGAGTACAGAACGACGGGGATCGAACGATAATTTTCCAGTGCCAGATTAGCTTTACTGGCCCTATTACGGATATCCAAAATTGGAGGTTTGCAAGACAAATCCACTATAGTAAACACCAACGTGGCATTAGTCTCCGAAACGTCGTTGAATGCTTTCAACAATACGTAATATTCGCCCCTGGTACGATAGTGATGCTTGACGAAGTGGGGTGTACTTAATTTCTCTTCTTCCCATAAAATATCGTTACGAGTATAATTAATAAAACAAGTAACGGGGGCTCCGAAAGCGTGTAAGATGCTCCCGTCACCGTAGTCGATAACCAGGCAGGTGTCTGTACCCAATTGTTCCAAGTTTATCTCAAAGAATTTATCTTCCTCTTCGTCTGTCAGATTGTAATGATCCGTAATGTCCAAACCCAAGACGGGTTCCATCATGTGCAAATGGATTTTAATAGGAGGGGCATTTTTGTGCACGTGATTATAAGCGAAGATCGACAGGTTGTAATGTCCGGGCTACAGAAAATAATGTGTTAATAACATTTCAATAAATAAATCTAAGAAATTAATCGACTAACCTGTTGGAAATCGTAAGTAAAAGTGCTGTCCGAATCGTTTTTCAAGATAGTCCCATCCTCCAAGAGTTCGATAATATATAATTCAACGTCACCTGTATTAATATTATCACAATAGTTTATAATTTCTCACGCTAGATGGAGACACTATAACGGGTAGGTTCACGTGTAATAGAAGCACGATAACACGAACTCGATCATGCCGAGAAAATTACAAGGTTTCAAAGATATACAAAAGAATAATTACCAGTTTTAACTCCCATGAATAACGTAACATTACGATCGACTGGAAATTTATCTTGTTTAAGACCAAAACCTGGCAGGAATCTTTTACCACCGTGTGGAATATGAAATGCTTTAACCGATAGACCCGTGATGTAGTCTGCCACCTCTACCTACAATACACGTGTTACAAGAGTAATGAAAACAATGCCCTCTTCTATCGCTTCTACGAGGGGGAGTGGTAGAAAATGACGTTAGAAATGCTCAAAAGAAAGGTGCAGGGTAATGTTATTAAGCCAAAAAACAATGGAAACAAATAGAATTGTACAATATTATGCAGCAAGTATTAAAGAAATAGAAACATACCTCGGTGGTCAAGACTTTTGAAGTGACCAAATTAAATATCTTGACAGATACTTTATATATCCCTGGTTTTTTGTAGGCGTGTTGAAAGACTTCGGAAATGCCTTCTCCTTCCTTCGGTATATCCCACTTTAAAGTGGCTTTATCTCCGAATTTAAATATGGCGCTGGAATTGGTGGGTAGCTTCTCCGTTTTCGGGTAATTAAGATTTATGGATATCGTGGCTGAGAAAAGCATGGAAAATCTATTTTTAGTGGTTTATTTATTGGATTTTACCAATTAATCGCGCAAATCGGAATAGAAAAATACAAAAATTTACCGGGTAAGAGTTGAGGAGAATTTGTACTTATTTCCCAAACAGGTAAGACGGGATTCTGTGCGATAAGTCTGTGAGAATCGTTAAATTCTCCGTGCAAGTTAAAGGCACGAACTTTAATTTTGTACACCCCCGGTTCTCGATACACGTGCTCTTTGGTGAGTTTACCTTTCGTAGCCGTGTCTACATTTTTAAAAAAAATATATATTTTTTTAGTATTTATTACGGTTATTACTTTAAAATTACGTGTTAATTTGGCGTAAATCCTCACCGTCGACGTATTCCTTTCTGATTTTTTCGTCTCCGAAATCCCAGACGACGTTGACGTTGGTACCTCCGTTAACGACTAATTCAAACTTGACCACTTGTCCTGTGGCGGTATCTGGTGGTGTGACGGTGAGTTTAATACCCAAAATTGGTCTCTGTACGTTAACGGTACATTTTCTAGTTATAGGAGTAGACGTAAATTCGTTATTAACTTCGATAGAATATTCAAAAACATTAGTCTGTCTGTAACGATGTTGTAAAGATAACTGTAGAGGCACGCCGATGGCTGCTTGTAAGTAATACTTTAATCCGGTGGATTTAACGTTGGTGTCTTTAATTCCGGACGATTTCGATAGTTTCGAACCTCCGAAATCGTCTTGTTCGTTGCCTAAAGTGCGACGATAGGCAACCTGACCCCTTCTTAAATAAACCCCTAAGATGTCGCCAGTTTCGACTTTATATTCACCCTCGATAGGAAGATAATTATGTCCAGCTTTGATGTTAATGGGTATTTTATGAACGATGGAAAAAGGGAACTCGAAAACCGATCTTAGTTGAGGGCAAGAAGCATCTTTAACGGGTGACAGACACGTGTGTCGATGTGGGCAATATACATTTTCCTTTTGGCATTCGATATATGCTGATGAACATTCTTTGTTTTGGCATTTTCTTCTAAGCACCTAAAAGAAATACAGGTATATCATTGAAGGAGCAATTTATAAGAAAATTATAGGTTGCCAACGTATTGAAAAATGGTTTATTCGTCCTCATTCATCTTTTTAAAATATTTTTTCCTTAAGTAAATTGTTGATTTCCCCAAGTTAAACAAGACCACACAAAGAAAACTTGGCTTATAATTTATGCAAATACGACAAGAAATAAGGAATTTGCCATCAATTTTTTTATTAAACTAAAACTTAAAATATCACCGCATAAATCTTTAATTAAGGTTATCGTTATATTTTTCCTTACCAGAAGTGAAATAGGACCTTCTTCTGTGCCGAATAATTGTAAAGAATGGACCAAACCGGCCAAATATATCTGAGAATCGGGTATTATAATTAATTTCTGATCACTTTTCTTCATTACCATATCCGGTGTTACGTTTCTAGGTATATCGATTCCTATTTTCTGAGCCTTAGTATCTGCACAAGAATAAGAGGCAATTATTCATATTTTTTTTCCATCGAATAATCGTAAATAAAATAACGAAAAAATATCTATTATTTGGCCTTATCTTTCTGGCAAGTATCGGGACTAGACTTACCTGGCAAACCGGATGCCAAGGGTTTAGTTTTATCTCCATATTCCTGTTTTAAAGACATCTTAACACCAGTCGTAACCGTCAGATTGCACGCAAATATCTCTTTAGGTTTGACAACGGTAGGACATAGAAACGTAACTCCATTTTCCGATATATCAGAGATCACTGTCACAACGGTACTAGCTGCCACACGATACGTCTATAACGATTACGGGCATAAGTATAGAATGTAGTGAAAGTTATTAGGCAATTATACACGAAAGGGTCGAGTTACCTCGGGTGCACCACGTGGTTTTGCCGATACCGTAACCTTAAAAATTCCAGGATGATAAAAGTAATGGGTGAAAGTACTCGTATCGTCTGTAAAACTCATAAAATTTCCATCACCGAATGTTACAGTATACTCGACATTCTCCCCAGTTTCTATATTAACAGTAAAATCGACTGGTAAAGAACTTTTAATTCTTTTTTCCGATGCTTTAATGGTAAGACCGGTTATGGGAACGATGACAATCGACTTATAATAGGTAATTGCCAAATTAGATTTCTTACAATCTTCTTCGTCCATTGTTTCCATCGATTCCACTAATAAATAAATAAATAAATAGAAATTAAACTGGACAAATTTTTAATTAGATGTATCTAAAAATTGATCATACCTTCTTTATTTTTCGAGCATAAACAATATTTTTCCTGTAAAATTCCTGTATAAGGAAGCCATAAATCTCCGCATCTTGTTTTGCAATTCCAAGGATCAAGTTTTTTATTGGGATCGTATCCTCCGGGTGAAGAATGGAAAAGATCCAACGATGCTTCGTTCAAACAATCTCCTTCGTTTAAACATTCTGTAAATAATTTTAATTAAATATGAATAATTTTAAACTATTTTAAATAGATTTTAAAGAATTCTTCTTTAAAAAATACAGCGATTTATATGTTAAAGTGCCTTAAGCTTGGAAATTATCACAGAGGACATCGCTCGAAAGATTTCCGCTAAAAAAATTAAAAAAAAAACTAGAAATTTCTGATCTTATTGAATTCGACACGCAATTCTCTAAAGTATAGAAAAAAATCGCCTTAAAAAAGTATAAAATTAGAGAAATCCACTTTAAAAAATGACATAATTAGGCCTGTTTTAATGTCTTAATTCGGATCGATTTCTAAAATTATCCCAGAATAAACTGTTCTAGAAATTAAATAATAAAATAATTAATAA